ATATATATATATATATGCTTGTATTATGTGAATAGTTTCGATTTCCTAAAATAAATTTATATATACATTTATATATATTTATGTACATTATATATATATATATATATATATATATATATATATATATATATATATATATATATACATAAATATATATAAATGTATATATAAATTTATTTTAGTAAATTAGTTTCCATTTTCAAAAACAAATTATATATACACACATTATATATATATATATATATATATATATATATATATATATATATATATATATATATATAAAATGAGTGTATATATAATTTGTTTTTGAAAATGGAAACTATTCGCATAATACAAGCATCATAAGAGTTAATTACAAAGAAAATATATTTCATTGGGTCCTAGAACATAATTTACTTTTGATAGATTAATTGCTGAAGAATAAATAAATATATTATTCAATTTATACAATCATATATTATCTATTTCTATACGATCATGCTATTTTCTCATTTTACAAATGGTATTAATTTAACACTAAATATTTAACTTTTTTCAAATTTATTAATTATTGTAAATTGGGAGGACTTTAGAACTTAGTGAGTGACATCACTCTATCATTAGAATTTTCTTCTTTGTTTCTAACTTGCAGAAAAAAATTTCTATCTCATATAGAACTAACTTTCAATTTTATAGATGTCATTCTTAAATTAACCACACCATTAGATTTTGCTTACAAAAAAACTGTTATTCTTTATAAATATTATTCTCTTCAAAACATAAATATTATTCTGTTCTGGTTTTGGAATAATGATAACCCCTTGGCAAGGTCGGCCTAAATTTTCTGAAATATCCCACAGAATTTATTCTAGCTATATTAGATATTATTGTTAACTTATCAAAGTTTTTGTTAGATAGCATTACTAAAAAGTATTTTTAAAAACCAAATGCCAAAAAATGACTTTTAAATGTAATTTATTTTACAGCATGTCCTGACCATTTTTCGTCTTGACTACTATATATCCATCTCTAGACTTTAATTTACATTTCTTTAGCAGTTTCAATCACAATAATAATAATAAATGTGATTATGAGTCAGACAAAATAGATATATTCAACAAAATAATTACAATTTTCTCAAAATATGTTACTTAAATATTACCCTAAGTTAAAAATTGATAACATTGTTATGTTAGGCATAAAAAAATTAAATAAAACTTCACACATTTGTGAAATAGTTATGATGAAATTCAAAAGTTTTTATCAATATTAAAATTATATATTTAAAGATCTTAAAAAATTATTTTTTAAATAGGAAATCGTTTCTCGCAGCAGAATTAAATAAAATAGAAAAACCAACATTATTCTGGAATAAAGTTCTTTAAGAACAGGCCCTAAAAGAGAAGGGGTCGTGCCTGGCCTAAGAGGCTTAATTTTTTAATTTCCAAGTTTAGATTGAAATAAAAAATATACTACATAATGTTTATTATATAATAATTACTGATGTAATGTCCTTACATAATATTTTTGTTGCATACATTATAAAAGGCATTGATTGGCTTTTAGCGGCAAATTTAATATTTGACGGGAGCCCTAGAAAAATATTCCTTCGTTTTCTCCCACAGCCCTCCCTGCTTCTCATAATAAAGTTTTTTTCTGGCCATAATACATATTGTATATATATATATATATTAAGTCATAAGAATAAAGAAAAGAAAAGCTTCATAATTGAATGTAAAGATAATTACTCCATTATTTATAGGGATTCTCATGGTAATGACAGAAACATTTTTATATTATTTATAAATTTATAAGTACATAAATATTTTGATTATATGTCTGCATATTTATTATTTCCCTTCCTACATTAACACAGTAGAATAGTTGTTTACCTGCATGTTTTACAAAATAAAAAAATTTAATTGCCAACTTGTTTATATATATATATATATATATATATATATATATGCATGCAAGTGTGTGTTTATGTGTCTGTATCTGCGTATATATATATATACATATATATATATATATATATATGTTTGTGTGTGTGTGTATTTGTTTATTTTTGATTGGTAACAAATTATTATTATCCTTCTGCCTAAGCTAAATTTTTATTTAGATTTTTTCACTTCTTGAGTCTATAACTTAAAAATTTTCGGTCTATGAAACAACAGACTTGATTATACTGAGTCTATTAGATATAAATATTTTATAAAATCTATTGAGGTAAGTTATTTAGCCTTCTCTTTTTCTAATAGGTTGCTGCAAAGAGCTCCAATCAAAGAAACATTATTTCAATCATGTATTAAGTATTTTTTTGTCTTTATGTTTCTAGTATTTTCATGCCAAAAACTAAACAAAATTATACCAATTTAATTTATATAAATTAACCAATGGAGTAGTATCATGGGAAAAAATCACAGAAATTTGAGCTAAAATAGAATTCAAGTGTTAAAGAATGTATATTAGATTGATATTGCATTTTTTAAATAATAAAAAGTTTCATATTTAGTTACTAACTTGAAATAACAGTAAGCCAGGGAGATATGGGAACTGGAGGATAATGGAAAGTGGACTATACTATAATGTGTACATCTGCTAAACACACTACTGCTTCATCCTTTTCATTTCTACTTTCTTCACATTTTGGGTTGTATGTTTGAGTTTTTTTTTAAACCATGGTCATTTCTTTTAATAATTTTTTTTTCTAAGTAAACTATTTCGTATATAAGTTGAAGTATTAACAAGAAAATTGCTTTTTGTTGTTGTTTTAGAAACTATTTTCACACAAGACAAAAAAATTCTTGGATGAAAAATTTGAATATGTGCAATATATAGATAAATCTCTGTATATCGAACTCCAATATATCAATCACCTTTAAGTATCAGACTTTTTTTAGGAACCTTCAATTTTTATTAGAAAAAAATATTCTGTGTAACATATAAAATTTACATAGATCAAACAATAAGTCAAATATACAATGTAATTCACATAAAAAATAGACCATAGTTTATGTTCATGAAAGTTGATAATAAAAAAAATATCTTTTTTCACTTTTCTTTTTACATAAAGCAATGAAAATTCAGGGAGATCTTTTAAGAGAAGAAACAATTGTACTACCCATGGTAATAATATTCTCAGAATCTCTTTCATAATTTAGAATGAAATTTCCATTTTAAATTTTATTTAAACATTTTAAAGTTTTGAAGGAGATAGTAAATGACTTAATGCTTAAAGGTTGATGAAATAGATAAAATGGTATTGAAATGCAATGCATGTAATATCCTAAAAAATTGCCAATGATACATCTTTAACACTTATAAATAATTGTATTTGTTTTCAGTACGGCAAGAGTAAAAAATTGGAATATTTCCATATTTCAAAACTCCTATTTACCACATTTTTCTACAAGAAACCCTCGTGTTCAAGATATGGATGTTCAACTATACTTCACAACTAACCAATATTTACATAGCTATAACTAGACAACAAGCGTTGTTCGAATTATGGACTTTTATAAAAGCAGTAAGGATTGAAGAGATGAATATGATAATAGACACTGAAAGCACTCAATATATGAGATTTAAAATAAATAATATTTATAATGAGACTGTCATATAGTACATAATCTGAATAATTGGGCGTATTAACTTTTCAGTGTGATTCAATTATCTTTTGTGATGTGAAAAAGTCTTCGAACAAACCACATTTTTATAAAAATGATAACTTTTTCAATTTCAAAGTGTTTTTATCTTCTTAATTGTAATCTGATTTAACCTTGCTGACATTGTAGATGTAATATATATTTAAATTAGCATGATTTTCAATTAATAACAAAACAGAGATCAATCCGATGTGTTGACTTTTTATCCTCTGAATGCTATCTGATTGTTTAACACGTTAGCATCTGAGTATGATATCTCTTAAATGTCTTTCCTGACAATATCGACACTGGTTATGAAGTATGACCTTTAATACCAAATAACAGGAGCTTCCTTCTGATCAATGAGGACCAAACTTGGAATCCCTGTTGCATTGGCTATTTCCTGAGCCTCCATTAGATTTTAAGCAGTTGTGCAAACACAATAATTTCAAATGTTTTTTAACAGCAGGACTATGTTTTCAGGCCTACTTTAACATTTCGAGTTTCTAGTAGGCTTGATTTTTAAAAATTTTTGATGACTTAATGAATTCCAATGGAAGTAGAACCTTCAACTTCTTTTTGAATTTTCCTGATTATAATTCTGTGTTAATGGAAAATTATAATTTTATGTTGGTCAAAAATGTGATATTTTTCCAGTTTCTGAAATAGAAGTAACATAAAATAGAAAACAAACAAAAATTTTGGAATATTAAATTGCTAAAAAAGTGCAAATAATTTCAATATTAGCACAATTTTCACTGAAACACTCAGCTTTTTAGAGTTTAGAGGACAGCTCTTTACTTTAACAATAAAAAGTAAATACTGGTGTGGATAAAAAAGTATGGAAATTTAAAATATAAGGTACCAATACACAGAGAGCAAAAAAGATCCCTTAATTGAATATAGTGGTAATTTAAATATACATTACGTCTACAATGTCTGCAAGGTTAAATAAATTTACAATTAAGAAGATAAAAACAGTTTTAAATTGAAACATTTGTCATTTTCATAAAAAATTATTTTGTTTCTTGTCTTTTCACACCAGTGTACATCAGAAAAAGTCCAGACTTTTTGCATTTTTATTGTTAATAACTTTATCTTCACCAATGGATAAAAATTGAAAATATTACCGATTTAGGTTGAATATCCTGCTCCTTTTTATTTACTTCTTTTTTTTAAGAATTATATTTATCAAAAACATTAGATCTCAAATGAGCTAAAATTCTATATCCTGGTTGGTATGTAAACGTGAGCTTATATATCATATTCATCTTCATTTACAATATTTGAGTACATATGTTTTAGTTTTAACTATTTCTGGTTAATGTTTTATGTGTAAAAATTTTCATTAATTAAAGTGTTACTTGTTTCCAGAAAGATGAAGAGAAAAAAGAAAAAGTAGAGGTAAAATATTTAATAGAAGATAGTACATTAGATGCAATTAAGTTGATGTTTTATAACAACTACACTATATTAAAAATTGGCTTCATGGTTTTGTTTTGGTAGTGCTTCTTGATTAACTTAAACATTTTTACATTTTTTATAGTTATAATTTGTTATTCACTTGGCTGCATTGTATTTATATATATTTTTTTTATTGTTTCATTTTCTTTTTTTTTTCTTTTTTTTTTTTTTAGTTTGTATACTAATTACTTAATAGGCTTAAAACTTACCAAATTTAATATACATTATGCCATCTTTAAGTTATTTTGGCTTGAAATAGCTTTTATAACCAATGGCTGAACTAAAACATGGTAAGCTTAAATCTAAAAAATGTAAGTATCAAATTGTTATTAAACCATTATCTTTTACATTTAAATATAACAGTAGAATCAGTTTATTATTAGTTAAAGATTTATACTAACTTCCTTTAAAAATTTTATTAAACAAATTTTCATTTATTAACTTCAATCAGGTTATTAATTGTTATCTTAGTACGTGGGTATGATCTATTTTTAGAAAAAAATTGGCTAATCTAATCATATTGGGTCATTTCAATATTTAGGCATAAATTTTTTTGAGAAAAAAGTAGATAAATAGCTTGTTTTTTGACTTCTTGGCAATATTTAGAGCTGTTTTAGGAAGTTACTAATGTGAGCATACATAATCCTCAACATAACCATACATAGTTATAGAAAAAATGTATCGTTAGTGGAGTCTTTTGTATGAGACTATAACCCCACTTTGCCAACTGTTAAAAATTTACATATTGCTAATTCACCCATGTCTGCCTCACTAAGCCGATCCGGAAATGAAAAATATATAAATAAAACCATAACCATAGAACGTCATTTTGAAAAAATTTAATATAATTATTTTTCTCTTAGAGTATTGGTTCTGTTTATTTATTATTACAAAAGACCATTAAGATTTGTTGAAAATCCTATTTGGTTAGTATATAATTTTAAAGAAATATGTATTTACAGATTTCTTAAAATTTCCACTTAAACTAATTCGTCGATGTGTATTTTTAGAAAAACATTTCGATCTTCTTAATCTTCTCTCTATCCATAGCTTATCCTAGTATCTACTGACGGCTTGGTATCTACTGAAATTTATAGTGGTTGTTGCCTGATACTATGTTGTTAATTATTTCAAATATTAAATTTGATGTAATTTTTTTTGTTATGGACTGTTTTTAGTGGCATGCAAAAGGAGGCAGAGTATGTGAGAATAAATATGTTTGTATTTGAATATGTGTGTCGACATTAATCAATGGATTTCAAGATTGCAAAAAGTTCAGCACTGAAAATATTAAATTTGGTGGTTCTTTACCTGGGCAGTACTACTAATGCTGTTTGTTTGTAGGATTTGGAGGCATCTGTACATATCTTTAAGTAGTCGGTATTAAGTGTTAATTGGTTTAATATGTTAGGATATATGATGATTTATAGCTATGGCCCGTTGTTAGCTTGAGATTGCTTTCAAATTGTAGCATTCTGCAGGACAATGGTGTATTTATGTCCAGGGGACCTTTTTTTGTATATACTGCTTGTAGCATAGGCTGCTTTTTATGTTTGCCTATATGTTTCTTGAAACTGTTGCTTTTCTAAAGGGATACAGATATGCTCTTTAGAATATATTTCTTTGTAAGCCATGTTCTTCTTAAGGTTAATGGCATCCCTCCTGCTTCAGCTAACAGTGCATTTGCTGGTATGGTTTTGAAAGCCCCCAAGTATCTCCCGATTGCTAAATTTTGGACAGTATTTAAGCTGTTAATCACAGGCAATTTTGTTTCATTACAAACCACACAGCTGTAGTAAAAAACATGTCAGATTATAGATTTATATAATAATGTCATGTTTAGGGGAATTGAGCGCCAATAAACCCTGGCCAAAATTTTTAATATATTAATGTTTTTATACACTTGGTTTTTAATATTTGTACAGCGAGATTTGATATTAATTTTTCTGCCTAATATTAAACCCATGAATTTTACTTTATCTTGAGCTACAAGTTAGTAACTAATTATTTTGATATTAATGTCAGTTATTGGGAATTATCTTTTTATTTTAAATGGGATCAATTTGGTTTTACTAGGATTAATTTGAAGTCCGATGTCATTAAACTTTGTTTTAGCGATTCCAAGGCATTACTATGATTTTTCCCCCTCCTCTGGTAATTTTACAATAGTATAAACTAGGAAGTCATCAGCAAATTGGATCATTTTGCAACAAGATGGTGGATTTATAACAATATGCTCAGTTTATAAATTGAAAAGAATTGGACTAAGGATATCTCCCTCCGGTATGCCATTGTAGGAATAAAAAATGACTGTACCTGCTTGAGTATGGATTAAATATGTAAGGGCGGATAAGCAATTAGCTATCCAATTGGTTATCAGATGCTAGGTGCCTATTTCTTTTAGTTTTCTCATGAGGGTTTGAGTCTTGACATTGTCGTAAGCTCTTTATAGGTTGACTGTTACAGCTAATAAAATTTTCTTCTGTTGAAAAGTTTTGTATATGCCATTTGTTAGATACCAGATTACATCAATAGTAGATTTGTTTTTTCGAAAACAAAAACACGAGGGACTAGGTACTTCTTTCTGTTCTAAAAACCATTCAAATCTTTGTTTATTAAAATATATTAAAAACTTATAACTAAAATTTTTAATAACAATAAATGGTAAGTATGCTTCCAAGAGGATAGATCATGAGAAAAAAAATTAACTACTTTTAGTTAGGACTTCAATCAAATGTGGCCGAAATTTTGAAGTGACCCATTTTTTAATATATTAACAAATTATTAAAGTTTTTTAATTTTAAAAATATATCTAAATTCAAATTTAATGAAAGTTTAGACAATATATTTATTAAAAATATCTATAGGAAATTAATTTAGTAATTATGCTTGTGGGTTATCATGATTGTTAAAATTAAGAATTTTTTTAATTAATTCAATCAATAACCTGCTATTATTTAAGTTTATTTTCAGTGATACTGAATTAACCAATTCCAAAACAAATTTTAGCCCTGAGTTTCATTTTTTCTCCTTAAATAGCATGTTCATAAAAACACTCTTTTTCTGCATAACTGGCATATTCTTAGTGTTAAATTATAATTATTTTTCCTAAACTTTTATTTAATTTTATGTTTTCCAATATTTTATTTTTTTTTAATATTATGTCAAAGATTAATTTTGAAAGTTCTTACAAATTTTAGTGATACATATATTTTAAATGTTAACCTAAAACGCATCTAATTTTTATATCAGAACATTTCTTTTTCTAGATTGTTTAAGCCAGAAAATAATTTATTATACATTTTCTTCTTTATAATGCTTACAACACAATTAGTCTCAGAGAAAAGATAATTTTGTACTTCATCCCATATTTGCAATCAATATATGACTGTCAATGTGGGATGAAATAAACATAAATTAGAACATATAAAAAAAAAATAATAATAAAACATGATATTTGAAAAAGAATCACTTCTACTATTCATTATTTTGGAATATATCTTGAAGAATTGTATCTTTTTCTACAAATAGTAAATAAAATAGAAAATGAACAATTCATACTAATTAATATTATCTAGATAAAAAATAATATTTAGTGTTATTTTCAGAAAAAGAAGAAGGTTGAAGAGAAAAAAGAGGACAAAAAAGAGGAGAGCAAGGAAGAAAAACTAATAAATGAAAGAAAGGAAGAGAAGAAACTAGATGAAAAGAAAGAAACAGATACAAAGGTGATAAAACAGGTATTTACACTATTTTTTCATATTTTATGTAGTAATGTAATCTTTAATTTAAAGGAATAAATTTATGTGTTAAGGCGAATAATTAATAGGTTATCACAAAAGTCTCTACATGAAAAAAGTTTTTGAATCTCACAAGATAAGATTATGGACATGGGGCCACTGATTTAAATGAAACATCTTTTGGTGATACTGGGTCAAAAAATATCAGACCCATGTCTGAGGGTTGTTGCCAATGCACCCTAAAAGCTGAGAAAAAAAAATTATAAAATGTTAAATTTTTTTCTATTATTGTTTTCTGCCTTTGCTCTGTATGAATTTCTAAGTTATAAAATATCATTCAATTTATTTTTTGTGATAAATAAGAAGAAAAAAATATTTCCAATTTTATTCAATGAATTTAATTTTACAATAAATTAAAAAAATCAAGCTCCTTGTAGAACAAGCTAAGTAAAGTTTTGTAATGAAAAACCTATTCGTATTCATCTCTTGCTTGCTTCCCTTAAAACTCTTAAGTATGTATTTATATTGAAATAAAATATATAAATTCTTTTAGTTAATTTTATATTTTATTTTTGTATTTATTATACATTTAATACATTTGGCAATCTTTTTTTCTTATTATATATTTTAAAAACAAATCAATTGATATATTATAAATTGTAAATCTATACAGAACAAAGGCAGAAAACAATAATATAAAAAAATGTTAATATTTTTTTTTGGCTTCCAGGCTCCATAAATAAATTGGCAAGAACCCTCGGACATGGGTCTGATATTTTTTATAAGATAGGTCTGATATTTTTCTACCCATTTTCACAAACGTTTTATTTAAAACAGTAACCCCACATAAGTAAAATTATATGTTATTCTTTATTGTTTTGTTGTCACATTACCTATATTTGTGAGGGATTGGAGTTATTTCTAATCTTATTTTACTAATTCATCTCCTCCAATTTTTCTATTTTAGGAACAAATGGCTCAACAAATTGAAGAAAGGCGTAGATCTGTTGTTCAGGTAAGATTTTGTATCTGAGATTTTGAATTTGTTGAAATCTATCAGTTATTAATGTTTCGTATTAGTCCTCACACGTGCATATATTTGTATATATGGGTCATTTTCATGTAACATGGTGATTTTACATGCCTCTAATTAGTATTATGCAGCAGGCTCCAATTTTTGTGTTTATTATTGATGAGTCCTATCAGTAGAGGACAGGAGGCCGAGCACATGGGGTATGAATCCCTGAGTGCCTGGGAGTAGTAAATAGTGATTGGGCAAAATATTTACTTTGTTTTTGAGGTTCTGTTACAAGGTGACATTACAATCCTCAGTACTCCTTCCCTCTAATAATTTATATTAACATTATCATCCTCTGTTGGACCTCTTGCCATTGTATTTCCTTTGGCATCCTCTATCCACAATTTCTAATGTCTTTTGTGCATTCATCTCTTTCCTGGGCTGTACTTAAGCATTTCAAGAGATTAACATGTACATATATTCTCATGACAAGCCTGTATCACATCAATCTTTTTTTACTGCTGTAATTTATGTTAGAATGTTAATATCACCCCTTACTCATTTTCTTTATTTGTTATTCTTAAATAATCCCTCTATGGGGCCAATAATCTTTTAGTATATGCATTTGTTACTGTCCACGACTCTAACTCAAATAAATTAGTTCTAAATCACTTCTACTATTCATTATTTTGGAATATATCTTGAAAAATTGTGTATTTTTCTACAAACAGTAAATAAAATAGGAAATGAACAACTCATATTAAGAAATATCATCTAGATAAAAAAAAATAATATTTGGTGTTATTTTCAGAAAAAGAAGTTAAATGACTAACTCAAATAAATTAGTTCTAATGAGGAAGAATTAGGATATTATCTTTTCTTTTTTTTTATGTTAGGAGGTACAACTTTTTGTTCTACAATACACCGTTGATGAAATAAATGATCTTTTTTGCAATTAGTAATATTAATATATTTTCTGTTTCCCTTTGCACTGTACGTAATTTATCTATTATCACCCTAAAAGACTTGATTACAGTGCTCTGTGGGATAATCTTACCCTCCTTGCAGAGAGCTGAAACAGACAAGTTGAATGGCATGTTCTGCTTCTTTTTTTTTTTTTTTTTGGTACTTATCTCATCTAGTTTCCTCATCATAAATTCCACTTTGTACTCTTCCAACTAAATGACAACTTGGTCATCAATAAACTGAAGGATAAATAGAAAATTATCACAAAATTAACGCCAATCTCTCAGTGTATCTGTTTCTAAGATTTCAAGGCTTATTCAATGTAGATATTAAAAACTCTTAGAGGAAGGTAATATCCCTATTTCAAGTCCTTTAGGGTTGGAAAAGGCTCCATAAATCTCATTTTGATCTTTTCTCTTTGTATAGCTCCATACAGACTCCTTATATCATTTATAACATTATTTTTATCTTAGTCAAATGCCTTCAAAAGTTTTTTCAAAGATTAAATTTTAAAATTGAAAATTTTCAAATAGGTTACGAAATCAAGGCTAGAAACCAAATTGTGGGTTGTTATTTAACACCTTTAGCAATAAAACAATTATTGCATTAATTAAATTTACTACATTAATGCATAAAATATTTATTTAATCCTTTATAGGTCACTGATACATATGTGCCAGATCCAAATATGTCAAATAAAATTTTTGAAATAGTTTTAATAGGATTTACTAGATAGATAGAAAAATAAATTTATTTTGGGACCAAGTCCCTTAAGAATAACAGAGTGTTACAGAAAATAACATATATATATAACCATGTAGTCAAAAGAAAGATGGTTTGAAAAATATATATATACAAGATCATAAGTAATATGTACAAATAAATGAAAAATACTGTTTTGTAAACTAAAACTTAATATGTGGTTAGCAGATTTCTGACTGTTATAAGAATAGAAATTGGAATGGGAGGGTTTGAAAGGTGGATATGGATGAAGCATGCTGAATTATTAGAGTTAGGAAATTTCAGAAAAAAAGCAGAGCAGACAACAAAGGAGTATAAAAGGTCAGAATCTTGTATTAAGAGAATGGACAAACGACTTGAATTGGAGAAGACCATAGGGGCAGGAAGGGTTATATATGTTGATAATTTAATAGAGGAATGTGCCTAGGAAATATTGTCACTACTAAATGGTAGCAAAACTAGAAAAATACTTTTCCACCACAATAAATTGCTGGGATTGAAATTTTGGTACAATGTACAGACTGGTACAGACCATAAATAAATACCCAGGATAGAAATGTTGGTACAATGTATAGACCAGTACCAGTATAGTGTTCCTTCTAAATTTGTCTCAAATTAAAATTTTAAGTATTAACTAATTTTAATTCTTTCACTTAATAAACATGCAGCAATATTATTCAAAATCATTCCTACTCAGCAGGTTTATTGCCAGGATAATAAATAATGAAATAACATAATATCTATTATTTTTATATACAGCTTATCACTGGTGTAACCTTGCTTGCCAGGCACTTTTTTCCTGGAGGATCTTATTTGTCCTGATAACAGGAAATATTTATCTTAAGCATAAATACTTCAAGTCTGTTCAGGGAATGAGGAGGTCATCCTAGTATGGAATACTTCCCAGCCAATGCTTGTCGGACGTAGGTATACATCGGGCAATCAAATATCATGTGCTTAACATCTTCAATAGTCCCGCAGCAACAATTCTGATTTTTTCGTTTTATGAAAGTGTAACTTCGAATTTATGTTACCAGAATTTATGTAAGGAGTTGAACAGTCTAGAAAATGGATGGTATGACTTTACAGAAACATCTTTTATGCCTGGCTTCTCCATGTCAGCCTCTTTCCAAATACAAGCAAAGCCACCTATAAACAAAGATCTGATATACATATTGCCTCAACAGCCTGTTCTGGTATTCTAGCCACATCATCGTTGTGCTTAAAAGGGGTAAACAAATTTCTTCCAAGTTTTACCAAGAGCTCTCTGGTACACTAATTCCCATGGGCTTTTATATTTTTCAATTTATCCATGTGTCTCTTCACTTTCACGATTGCCACTTGGAAAAATTTGATCAGTGTATAGTACATGTTTTTTAAACCTTTAACACTAGCATTTTTCTCTCTTTGGAAGCGGCATCTATCTCTATACTTTTCTCACTTCAAGCTTGTCAATTGTTTGTTTCACTATGGTTGTTCTTTCCTTACTGAATCTTCTGTAATGGGCAGTACTTCTTCAACTGCTGTGAAGATGCTCATTGAGAGTTCCGCTAATTCATCTTACAGTTTCATATTTTGACGTAATTCCAATTCTGTTTGGTGCCACTGGATATTATTAGCCACACTCTCCCTCCATTTAGTTCCCTCCATATCAAACTGTTCCCTTCGATACTGCTTTCCCTAATTGTGTCCGTTATTTTGAAGGTTATCACATGGTGGTCACTAAAGGTCCAATCCACCACATTCCAGGAATCGATAAACTCATCAATGCCAGGTGAAGCCATAATCACATCAATATAAGATTCCCCACTGGATCCAGAAAAGGATGGTGAAATCGCAGTTTCATTAATAATCATCATCTGCAAATCTTACAGTAGCAGACCTTTCCAATCAGTTTGCTGGTTACCCTGTAAAACTGAATGGGCATTAAAATCACCTATCACAATCATGTTTCTATCCAACTTACCTATGATTTTCTGCAGTTGGTGCTGTGTGTTTTCAAATGGGACAGCGAGCTTGGCATATATGTTGATCTATAAATGAAATATATAGTAAGGGAAAGTTATTGCAATATTGAAAATTTTTGAATCTGAGTTTTCGACAGAAGTACATGTTTTAAGATCTCCTGAGTCCAAATAACCAAGTCTCACAAAATGATCTGTTTATGTTTTTGTGTGTATCTGAACAGCATAGCTCAAAAATGAAGACAATTTATTGAAATTATGTATTTAATGTAGGTATGTGCACTGGATGAAAATTAAATAATCTTTAAAATCAGTTCGGTCCTATCCTCATTGAAATAATTTAAAAGGGCTTTGATTCTGAATTTGAAAAATTGCTTCCTTTAAAGTATCTTTATATTTTATTATTAGAAATAATTAAAATTATCTCATTGTCAGTATTAATATAAAATAGATAACTATGAAGGAATTTGATAATTAATGAAATCAAAATAATTATATATATATATATATATATATATATATTATATATATATATATATATATATATATATATATATATATATATAATATATATATATATAATATATATATATATATATATATATATATATAATCTACTGTTCAAAAGTAAAACATTTTAGAATCATTAATATATAGGTAAGATTATAAAATAGTAAAAGGTATTGGAGAATGACTAAAAAGTAATAGTTTATATTTTTTTAGTTAATAATTTCTTCTTATATTCTTATTGAATGGGAAATAAATGTTTCCTTGGAAATTATATGAAATTTTCATATAAAATAAATGAAAAACATTAAAACTTATTTTTAGCTTGACCAACCAAAATATTTATTGCGCAGAATTGTTATACCTTATATCACATGTCCTAAGTTTGTATTTACAATTAAAGCACCACTCTTAAAGATTATTAACTAAAAAACAAAAAACATAATTCCTAATGAAAATAGATGAAAGCTGTGTAATGCACTCCACCAGATATTTTATATATATATATATATATATATATATATATATATATATATATACATATATATATATATATATATATATATATATATATATATATATATATATATATATATATATATATATATAATTACAAAATATATATGCTAATATATAACAAAATGTAATTAATGCTAAACCTTCCATGGGCTAAGGTAATCAAATACACTTTTAATGTTTACAGGAAGAATTTAAACAAGTTAGTGAAAGGAAGCAGTCCATTAAGGTGTGAAATATATATATATATTAGTATGTAATTAAATTTAGATATTTTATATTTAATTATTATTATTAGATGGATATAATTATTATGTTAGATGAGATGTCTCTAAAATTATTATTATTACATATTTCATATGTAATTGAAAAAAAATATATACTAATATATAAAGGAAGGAGATGGTCCAGGGTGGCGGTCATAAATAGGCTAAATAGTGGCAAAACTATTTTATTAAAAGCCAATGTTTCGACCCGACTTTGCAGGTCTTCTTCAGGGAGGGAATGTTCTAAATTTCACTTAGAACTGAGTGACAGTTTTAAGAGAAACTCCTAGCTGAACACACCTCCCTGAAGGAGACCTGCAAAGGCGGGTCGAAATGTTGGCTTTTAATAAAATAGTTTTGCCACTATTTAGCCTATTTATGACCGCCACCCTGGACCATCTCCTTCCTTTATAATGCAACGGTCAACTATTAAATATTCAATAAAATCATATAATTAATGTTAAACCCTCCATGGGCCTAATGTAGTTAAATGTACTTTTAATGTTTACAGGAAGAAGTTAAACAAGTTAGTGAAAGAAAGCAGTCCATTAAGGTGAGAAATAAATAAATAAATAAATAAATAAATAAATATATATATATATATATATATATATATATATATATATATATAGAGAGAGAGAGAGAGAGAGAGAGAGAGAGGGGGGGAGAGAAAAAATAGAATATAAAATCATCCTTATTCTCGGACTAGGTCCCTTAAGAATTACATTATTGTTCTATAAATTAACAATAAATCTCTACAACAGACCTATTACAATAAAGAATAACTAAAATACAAGTAATTGGGGGTTTATGGTTGACTGTAGTGAATATTTGAAGAAAATGATGGTTGGGGTGATCAGTAAAATTAAAATGGTAAAAATAAATAATTTTATTTATTAAATAAATAATAAATAAAGAGGCAGATATATGAGAAGGGATGTATAGGTCAGAAGGTTGAGATCTTGTGGTGAGAGAATGGATTGAGGACTTAAATTGGAGAAGGTTGTAAGCATAAGAAGGACGATGATCGTTAATGATTTGATAAAGGAATGTGCCTAGGAAATATTGTCTTCTAATATATATGTATATAAATATTAGTCTTGTAATATATATGTATATAAATATTAGTCTTGTAATATATATGTATATAAATATTAGTTTGTAATTAAATTTTTAAAACACAACTAAATGGTTACAGGAAGAAATTAAACAAGTTAGTGAAAGAAAACAATCCATTAAGGTGAGAAATCATGAAGTACCTATTAGACATTAAATTTGTTTATTTTTAAAATTTTATTTATTGAAATTCGAAAAAATATCAAAGATACAATAACTAAATTTTCAGTTTGATTAATATTAAGTGATATTAGTTTGTAAAGAAATTATCTGTTAGCAGCACTTCAGTGATGGTTTGGTACAACTAAACTCGATAGCTATGTTCAAATAGGGCTTATTATAAAAGTTCAAATGGGTTTTATCATCACAAAATATTAATCTTTCTGCTGTGATCTCTCTGGTAAGTGTTGAACCAATCTGAAATGATGAGCCGTTTTTTTTGGTTTAGTGTAAAGATTTCAATCTCCATATTAAGTCTGTGGATAGTAGGGCTGTTAAACAGTTATAAGTAGATTATTATTAGAGATTAATTTAGGCAAGGATGTCAGTCTCTATTTGCATTGAGCACTTAGAAGGGTTTTACTATAATCATATTGTTTTGAAAGGTATTTTTAAAAATTAGTGATTTATGGTTGAAGAGTTGGGGTAAAAAAAATGGCCAATTTGTTCATCAATGAGGTGCATTTATCATTACTGTATATGGTGAGACAGTGCCAGAAAGTTGGAATGTCAAGATAAAGAATGAGAAAACACTTTGAGGGACACCAGTAGACTGATGAAAGATCGATGAACAGGAAAAATTATTATCAACTAAATATTATAGGAGTTAGATCAGAATGGATTATGATTCAGTTTTAAGCCTGCTTTACAATGAAAACAAGTCCACCACATGAAAACATAGCTTGACAAATGAATAAGATATTTGAAAATCAAACTGATGATCCAAAATAATAATATTGTTATGGTACAGGCATTTCGGTACTCGTGAATAAGCTGGTCGCTATGGAATGCTATTAGCCATTGTTTATAACCTGAACACTGATAATTCTGATTCTAATAATACCTACCTTCCTATTTATATTTATGGAAATTGAAATAGACAAAAGAAATGTAATAACATAACACTTTAATTTTACAACATTTTATTTATTTTGGGAGACAAAACATCCTAATGTTATTTAAAACAGCAAGGAACGGGTCATCTTCTCTGTGGACCTGCTGCCACAAAATTCACATAAATATGAATCCAGGTGTTGCCTTGCAGTTCCTTGATGTTTTTTATTCCTTCACTTAGCTGAGTCCCATAATCATTCTATGTGTTGAGTATGGACTCCACTTGCAGGATCGACAAAGTTATACCGATGATAAACCTTGAAATGGTCGTAGTTTGTTTTATTTAGTTGTTGAATGCTGTATCCTTTCCAACAGTTAGAATATATAGTGGTTCCCTTTTCCATATTATTTTTAGTACATTGTAATACAGTTGTTGCTTTTCTGTCTTTTTACTTCGACTTTTGTCTATTTCAACTACTTTTCCAAGCCCTCCAATTTCTTTAGTTGACCTGCATAGAATGCACATGTAACTAAGCAGAGATGAGTGAAAAGAAGAGGTTATAGGAGATAAGTAGATTATAAAATTTGGTCTTAAATACTGCATTATACACTGACAGGCAAAAAATTCCACCCACTTGATTTTTTCATGTTTTCATCTAAAAATATTTCTGCTTTGGATTGGTCTATTGTATTTAATGAATAAATAGGTAATCTTTTTGTTTTTGTTCAATTAGGAGTGTTAATTTAGAGGACAATAACCCTTGATCCTTCATTCAATAAAATGATTCTAGATTCCCATGTTTACTTTCTATGGAATCAAAATGTTTATTTCAGTATCATTAGTTCAGTGCTGTTTCTTGCAGCACATTTCTTAGTCTCCGGCTTTTAATTTTTTCAATATTAAGTTTAAAAATGCCTCTTAGTGCTGAGGATGTTGCGCGGTGTGGCACTTATTGATGATGTACGTTCCATTAGATATGTAGCTAATGCCATCGGAGTTCCATATGAAACTTTACGAGACGCCGTCAAGCGTTTTCAGGAAACTTGTTCTTACAATAGAAGGCCCGGTTCTGGACGGCCTAGGATAACAGAACCACGGGATGACCGGTTTTTGAATTTGAGAATTTTACGAAACCGGCACCTTACCGTTGTTCAAGCGATTCATCAGCTCGAAGAAGTTCGAAGTGTGCAAATTTCTGAACGTACCGCTCGGAGAAGATTAAATGAGTATGGATTAATGGCTTTTCGTCCAGTAAGAGGACCAGAGTTGACCAGAACTCACAGAGTAACACGGCTGGCTTTTGCTCGAAAACACAGCCATTGGACTATGGACGAATGGAGGGCTGTACTTTTTACAGATGAGTCAAGACTCGCTCTTCGATCTTCAGACGGGTGTGAAAGGGTGTGGAGAAGAAGAAACGAAAGATATGCCATGCAACATCTAGCAGCCCAGTAAAAAAAAATTTCACCTTCTGTCCTGGCTTTGTTTCTAATGTCCTGTAGTCCGGGACAAGTCAGTTGATGCAGAGCAGTCATGAATCCTTGTCGACACAGTGGACATGTTGCTGATTCGACAACTCCAATACGGTATAGATGGCTTTGGAGATATTCATGTCCGGTTTTCATCCTGATATGAAAACTTTGTTGTCATTTTCATTGTTCTTACGTTCATCTAATATTTTAATTGATTATTTATTTTTTTTATTTTTTCGTCGGCTCATGACTCCCACAGAAGTCCTATACTGCCCAAATTCAATATTATATAATTCATTATGGTACTTGTGACTTATCCAGTCACCACAGAATCTCCCTTTTTATCTCATCTTGTTATCTTTCCGTTACTTGTGCGTTATTCAATTGTTTTCAATTTTTTTTATTTTTTTTGTTAATTTTGGTTTAAAATGGCTATAATAACACTGAAGGAATTCTTCAGAAGAAGTATCTGTCAAATACTTTCAGAAGTTTGGGATAATTCCAAAGGTGAAATTGTGTGAAGAAGTTCATGAAATGGAGAAACAGACCAGTGTTTTGTGGTAAAAATAAAAGACAGAAAAGCATCAACTCCATTAGAATGTACTGAAGATAATATAGAAAAGAGAACCACTATATATTCTGGTTGTTAAAAAGGATATAGCACCCAGCAACTAAATGAAGCAAACTACAACCATTTCCAGGTGAACCACCAATATAACTTTGTTGATCCTTCAAGTGGGTTCCACACTCAACACATAGAATGATTATGGGTCTTACCTAACTGGAGAAATAAAAAACATCAAGGAATACCGAGGCAACACCTGGATTCCTATCTAAACATCAGTTTGTTGATTTACTGAACGTTTCAAATTTTGTTTTATATATATCGATTCTTTTATTCTTCATTTATTTATATTATTTTCATTATGAATCTTAGCGTTTTTAAATTCAAATTCATATTTTGTCTACATTATATGTTAAATAATAATAATAAATAATGAGATAGTGCAGTAACTAATTTAGTTTTTGAATTACAGTTTTGTTCATGCTGTTTAAGTATTTTTTCAAACTATTGGGATATCTGCTCATAATATGATTTATTGTTATAATTTTTACATTTTATTTTATAAAGTATATTTAGTATTTTATCTTTGGTTTTCAATAAATGTTGTCTATTTTATTAATTGGTTTAGTTGCAAATTTAATTTAATTTACATAGTATTCTAACACTCACATAAAAGTACCATTAACAGCACTCTGCACACAAAGGTCTTATACAGTATACACCCTAGAGTCTCCTTTTCTAGGGGGAAATGCTTCAGGACACTTTGAAAAGACAGCCCCTCCACCTGACTCAGGGGCAGTGGGTCGATTACCTGCTGTCCTTAAATCTATGATATCAATAAAGCTCAAAAAAGATTAGCAGGACTGATACATGGAAAACAAATTAGTTACTATAAATTGGACTATATGATCACCTCATGGAATGTATTGACTTTATATCAACCTGGAACATTGCAAGTGCTTTTAAACACCTTTTTCAATTATAAAATAGACATTGCTGCATCCAAGAAATCAGATGGATCGGACAGAGCAGCCAAACGAAAGGAAATTATACCATATTATAGCTGTGAAGATCGCCTCCATACTTTCAGTACAGGTCTCATTGTTAGTAAGAGATTAATTCAACAAGTCATTGATTTCATGCCTATTAATCCAAGACTCTGTATGCTCCGACTCAAAGGAAAGTTTTATAATATTAGTTTAATATACATCCATGCTCCTACAGAAGTATCAGAATAGGATGTCAAAGATGCCTTCTACGAAGAACTTGAAAGATGTCTTCATAGTTGTTCAAAGTATAATATGAAAATAGTGATTGGTGATTAAAATGCACAGATCGATAAAGAAACTACTTATCTATCAGCAATAGGTATCAATGGTATACATGAAGCTTCGAATGATAATGGAACAAAATTAATAAATTTTGCAGCTTGAAACAGGCTTTTTGTTGGCAGCACATGTTTTCCTCTTGAATTCTCTCTCTGAAATTATACCCCTTCTGATATTTAACACACAAAGTCAGTTTTTTCTTTCAAATCTCTCCTTTTTAAGCACCTGTTCTATTCCCAGTCCGATTGATCATGAAAGGCACGTAAGAGTCTAAATCGTAAGACTCTTTAAGTAACCCCAGATAATATTTTGTTTATTTATTTAATTTAATTTTTCTTTGTTTATTTTATATTCATGTATATTTTTTTATATCTTTCTATTACCTGTATTTTTACTTTATCTTACCAAATATTTTGTATATATTTAATTTAAGTTATGGACACACTAACATGTTTATTTATATTCTACATTTTTAATTTATTCTGAATGGACACTAGTCTCAGAATAATAAAGTTATTTTCATTTCATTTCACTGTTTGAAACTCATTTTATAGTAATAGACCCTAATTTAAACAAATTATTAGTCATGTAAATATGTCCAATACATAGACTGCAAAAAAATGAAAAGACATATTAAATATGTGATCAAATGCAAAATTATTTTTATTTGTGAGAAAGATTTGATAGGGGGGGGTGCGGTCAAATAAATACTAAATTATACAAATAGCATTATTTAATTTTTGCCAACGTTTCAACCCACTTTGCAGGTCTTCATCAGGGAGTAGGATGTAGCACTGCGGGAGGTAGTTGAAACACTCAACTCACACCTTGAGTGTTTCAACTGCCTCCTGCAGTGTTACATCCTACGCCCTGATGAAGACCTGCAAAGTGGGTCGAAACGTCGGCAAAAATTAAATAATACTATTTGTATAATTTAGTATTTATTTGACCGCACCCCCCGATCTACTCCTTCTCATATTATATTCAAAATACCAATATTTTGGGTAACAAGCTCTTTGATTGTATTTTTAAACATGTTTTCAGGAAGAAACAAAGCAAGTTATTGAAAGAAAGCAATCTTTAAAGGTAGCTATTTAAGTTTTATTGGATTATTTTAGTATCCTTATTGTCAGTAAACTAAATAAATTTTAATATAGTTTTAATTTAACTTAAATAAGTATTTAATAAAAAAAAATAAATTGAATTTTTATAACATGTAAAAAGAACTTTCACTTTCTTCTTTCTTCCATTGGCTCGACAGATCATTACTGGTCCTTGCCCTCCTCCAATAATTTTTGCCAGTCTGCACACTTTTGGCAGCAGTTCTCCATTCCCTGACCCCCAGGATAATCCAGACATCCTCCGCTACACCATCCATCCATCTAGACACGGTCTTCCTCTATGCCTGGTGCTATGAATGACCTCTCATTATTTTTCTGGGGATCTCATCTTCTGACATTCGCGCAACATGGCCAGCCCACCTCAATCTTCTCAGTCTTATATGCTTCAGAATGTCAGGTTCGCCAAGGAGGTTATATATCTCTTGATTACCCCTATTGAGGTATGTTTGATCAACTGTCCTAGGTCCATAAATGCGCTGCAGAATTCTTCTCTCAAACCAACAAAATTCGTTTATCCATCCGTGATTTTACCCATGACTCTGAACCCTATGTCAAGACTGGCCTGATCAGTGTCTTGCACTGCCTTAATTTTGTTGTCCTTGACAGATACTTGCTCCTTAAATGTCTTCCTAGTCCAAACTAACATCGGTTAGCACTGACTTTTCTCCTCTCTATTTCCTTTGTAATATCATTGCCCTCAGTTATCACGGATCCCTGGTAGACAAATTCTTCCACTTTTTCAAACTTATAGGTGCCAAACTGTACTATCTTAAGCGCCCTTGAAGTGATGGGTATGGATGTAATAATCTCTGCTTCATTCCAGTATAATATGGAGTGAGAAAATCTGATCGAACGTTAATTTACGTTGCAGAACCCATACTGATATTTTCCCAGTAAGCCCTCCACATATGCCAGAAGTTGCATATAAAATACAAATAAAAGTCTATATAAAATGTTTGAGAATATTATATGCGCAAGGCAACACCTAGGTAGTTTTTACATTCAAGTGCATTCCCTTTCTTGTGGATTGGCACAGTATCGACTATTTCCATGAGCTTGGCATTATTTCTGATGTCCACATGGAAAAAAATAGGCTTTGTAAGGCTTTAACCAGATTTCCACCTCCTTTCTTGAAAAGTTCTGCGGATAAATCATCAACTTCAGGTACCTTAAGGTTTCTTAGCTTTTCAATGGCATCACACAGCTCATCCTCATCAGGGCAGGGGGTTCAATCTCATGGCCTTGATTTATTTCAGGGTTAGATTCCATTTCGTTAGCTCAACCTTGCATTCAATAGTTCGCCAAAGTGGTTTTTCCATCTCCTCATTACCAGGTCCATGCTTATGAGAAGAATGCCTTCTGTATCCTTACATGGAATGGTTCGTGGTTTAAACAGCTTTCGCTCATTATTAATTCTTCTGTATAAATTCTGACAATCATTTGTATGTCTGAGCTGCTCAACCTCCTCAAGCTGCTTATTCTCCCAATTTCATTTCTTCCTCCTATTCACTTGGTTTTCCTCTTTCCTTCTTTTGAGATAGAGATCCAACGATGCTCTTGTGTGTCTCTTTTAAAGCATCAATTTATCTGCCTGATTCTTGACATCAATGACTCTTTTGCATTCATCATCAAACCAGTTAGCCCTTCTCTGGTAACATTCAACTCCAATCGCCTCCTTGGCAGCTTTCCTAACACAGCTTTCTATGTTATACCAAATTTGTTCTTTATCCTAGGTATGGATAGGAAGAAGATCAAATTCTCCATAAACTTTCAAAGCTTATCGTTCTAATTTATCCAGGTCCTCAAGCTTGCTTGTGTTAATTTTTTTAAAAATTATTTTACTTCTTTTTTCCTTTTGTTTTTTAAATTAGAGACTCTTGATCTTATCTTTGCTATGACGAGGTAATGATCGGAGTTAACGTTTGTCCTCTATATGTTCTTAACTCAAGAAGGTTCGTATTATGCCTGGCACTTATCGAAAGATGTTCTATCTGAATAACAGTGAGTCCATCAGGAGACCGCCATTTACTCTTGGGTATATTTTTGTGAGGGAAGAGGATAATACCAACAACAAGGTTCTGTGATTCACAGAAATTGATCAGCCGATGTCCATTATAGTTTCTTATTTCATGTAGGCTATGCTTTCTGATTGTTGAGCTGAAGCTTATGACTTTAGCATTAAGGTCACCTGCGATGATTTTGAAATCTTCTCTTGGGCAGGTACTTATAGTCTTTTCAAGAAAGTCATAGAACTCTTCCTTATCTTGTTCCTTATAGGTCTCAGTTGGAGAATGACAACTAATCAAGGTATAATTAAATAATTTACCCTTGACCCTACGTAAATAGAGTCGCAAACTCACTGGTCTGAAGTCTATGATTAAATGTTTATACCTTGCAGACACTACATAGCCCATTCCATAGGTACGCAATCTGTCGTCACTGCTGTAGTAGATGGTGTGCTTCCTCTTTACTAAATGGTCTTTGCCAGTCCATCTAATTTCCTGGAGTGCAGTTGTATCTGATTTGTATTGGTTCAGCATTTCCAGAAGTACTCCAGGACTTTATAGCATCAAAACATTCCATTATCAAATCGTGAGGTCCATATGATGAGTGCCACATTGTACCATTCTTGACAGTCCAGCTTAATATTTTGAGGTTTCATAATAATTTTGTTTCAGAGAAGAGGGTTATTAGCCCAGCTGCCCTCGATTCAGATGAAAGGATTGCCTTCTTGAAGCCCTCTGACTTGCTTTCCCTTCTAAAGGTGACCCTAGGGTGTATAGTTTTATTGACTTTGGTCTGTAGTGTGGGAGGATGAGTGTAGTGTGCTGTTATTAGTGTATTTGTATGAGCGTCAGTGTACTGTTCCTCCTGGAGGGCCAGTGACTGTCTGCGGTACTTTGATTGGGCGATGAGGCCGCCACCTCCCTTTGCCATGAACTTTTACTTTACTTGTTATTTTATCTGGGATAGAAATTTTTTTATTTATAAAATGTCATAATTATTATAAATATATGCATATCTCACCAATTGAGAATAAGTTAAGCTAATAAGAATATTTCAACTCATAAGATAAGTCCATTGAAGTTATTTCATTTTTAAGTTATGTTACTAAGTAGAAATGGGCAAAAAGTACTCTGAGTAAAAAGTACAAATTATAAAAAATATTTTACTCAAATAGTCACGTGGATCGAGTACTGAGTACTTTAATCACTACTCGACCCGATGATTGACGAGAACAAAAGTACTCAGCTGTTCTTGTGGGTACTTTCCATTTTCACATTTACTCAGAATTATTTTACTCTGAGTACTTTTCAAAGCAAACGAGTTCTTCATTATAAAAATTATAGGAGTAGAATATTTCTTCAATATTTATGTCCATCGTCATTTTATGGGGGTGTAGTTTTTTAAAATAGTATCGATATTAATGTTAATCAATAAAATATCGACTTATTAAAATATTTTGAATTTAATCCATATTTGGGCCCATTATCATTTTTTTTTTCTTTTTCCTACACCTCTTGACTTGGAATTCCATTATTAAGTTTTGGGGGGCACTTTTTTAAAGAAATACTATCGGTTATGAGATTGTATCCCTCATCGTCCCCCGCTCATCCCTCATCGTCGAATTTTTGTAAATTTTCAAATTTATTCGATATCAGGATCGACTATAATGTTTTGGGGGGCACTTTTTATGAAAATACTGTCGGATTTGATTGCGCCCCCATCCTTAGACTTTTTGTAATTTTTCGGATTTAATCGATATCAGTATCAACTACTATGTTTTGGGGGGCACTTTTTATAAAATTCTGTCGGATTTGAGATTGCACCCTCGGGCATTGACTTTTTGTAACTTTTCAAAGCTCCCTCCAAAACATAATAGTCGATCCTGATATCCATTGAATCCGAAAACTAACAAATGTCGATGCCCGTGGACGTAATCTCAAATCCGACAGCATTTTCATAAAAAACGTCTCCCAAAACAATAGTCGACCCTGATATCAATCAAACCAAGTAAAAAGATGTTGAACATTCAAATTTTTAGAAAAATAGCAAAAAAGAAAATATATTTTTTTGTTTTTTTCAATTATGAAGTTATGTATTATTAATATGTTTTTAGTTATTTATTCCTATTCCCTTAAAAAGAGTAAACTGATACTCAGTTACTGGGGAGATAGGTGTGCAGTAGGTAGGAGGAAAGGCTGCTCAAGCTCCATTCCACTACCACCTAAAATAAATGTTAATTTTAACTTTCTTATTAGTTTTTAATATCTCAAATTCATTGATCACACTTATATTTTAATGTCTTTGTTGTATGTAATATGATACAAATATAATAAGAGCACATGGGGTTGAGGGTCGTAGTCCATGAAGTTGTTGAGAAGGATGATTATATGTGTACCATTATGGACCATTCTCTTAATAAACTGTGCACAGAGAAAAACACCTGTGATAGAAACTTTCTTTTCACAAGAACATTCCACATAAATATCACAATTTGAAAGATTTTGCTGAAGAATTACAACACATTCTGAAATATTTTGTTCTTCATTTTTGTAACTTGATAGAAATTGGTGTTGAGATATAAACACAATAATAACAGAAAATGGCTCAACAACCTTTTGATAAGTTAAGTCTTTTACTGGCTTGTCAAGACCTAATAAGACTGATAAATTGTTATAGTGCTGCAATAGGAAAGATTTACACGGAATTAACTGAGCCATATTTAGAGAAGCATTAGATGAGGTATTGTGAGCTATTATTTTTTTCATTAGTTGCAGATTATTTCTTTTATTATTTGGACTAAGAAAAATAAACAAAAAAACTTTATAACTGACATTCATACATGGTGAATGAGATGAAGTTAAATTAACTTTATAAAGATTCCCTTGAGATAAAAAAGTACTTCAGCACAAATTAAAAATACTGATAACTGGCAGTGAATCGCATTTAAGCATTAGTTTTAGAATGAATTAAACAACATTTCAAACACTAAAGTTATTATTATCTTTAAAAATACAAAGCTGTTTTATTGTAGTAAATATGCTCCAATAATATTTTAATGTAATAATTTCATTTTAATCTAGGAAGCAAAATCAGAAGTCAACGAAAGGAAAATGTCTGTCACTAAGGTACAATTAATTTACTTTATTCATTAAAACCTGTAAATATGTAAATATTTTATATTTTTTAAACCGCTATGTAAGTTTTTTTTTTTGGCTTGAAAGTAATGATTTATATTCTGCATGAGACAACTAATTTTTAAAACTGATTGTTATAGAAATTGAAGGGTTAAGTGGATAAAGGTTATAAGTAACATTTTTTGAATACAAAAAAAAAACTGTATTATTGCTAAGGTTAAGTTTGGTAAGTGATTTTTTTTTTTATTTTGCTCTGCCAGGTATACAGATATTATCACATTTTCCAATAGGAAAAGGACACACATCCAACTGTCTACTTTGGGAACAATGACCTCGATCAGGTGGGTGAAGTGGGAAGGGAAAAGAAGAACATACATAATAAATATATCCCTTTCCCAACAGAGAAATTCCGCAAGACCTTTTTTTTTCTGTGACAAAATGCATCATGGCCAAGAAGGCCTACGGTATACCCAATTTAGTGTCGCTTTTATTCAGCGCATTATTCTAGCAGTCTCTACAAACTGAAGTAGGTTAGTCTGGACTTTCGAAGAGATGGGATAAAAGCACATAAATTCATCTCAAAGCTTAATGGTGGAAAAGATCCAAGGAATAACCCTCTTAAGTTTAATAACAAGGAGATATTTTCTGGGCTTGCCATAGCAAGGAGCTTTTGTAAATTCTTTGCCAGGGCCTCTAACTATAAACCGGCAGAAGAAAATAATAGAGTTAATACCATGCCACCAATCTTATGTTTGAATCTTTCTGAAAGCCAACTGAAGACTACTTCAGCAAGGAAGAACTTGAACTTGATCTGGCACCAACAAAGAAGGGAAAAAGCGGTGGCCCTGATGATATATTGCCAGAGTTCCTTATATACCTGGATGCAAAAGCTAAGCTCATAGTGCTGGATTTCCTCAATGCTGTATGGAGATATTCTTGTGCCAGGAGGAAGGCTGAGGTTATTCCAATTCTCAAGAAAGGCAAATGTTCCTCTTGCCCATCTAACTACCGACCTATCTCGCTCACAAGTGTTTTTTCTAAGCTCTATGAGAGAATGGTCTTAGCCTGGTTGCAGTAATATTTAGGTAGGGAAAATAAGATGTCATTGACACAAGCAGGTTTCATAATGCACCGATGTACAACTGAGCAGGTGGATCATTTTAGTGTGGATGTAAAAGATGGATTCCAATGGAAACAACATACACTTGCAGTATATGTTGATTTTAAAGCTGCTTTCAACAAATCTGCCCCAATGTCTTTCTGAAAAAGCTCCTCAAAATAAATATAAGTGGGAAAATGTACAGAGCCGTACGGTCCTTCTTGGCCCAGACATTTCTCCGAGTAAGATACAATGGATAGTTTTCAAGCTTCAGATCTTTTAACCATGGACTTCCCCAAGGATCTGTTTTGAGTCCCACATTCTTTAATATAATGATGGATAACTTAGTGGCTGTGCTCGAGGGAATACCCAGAATATCTGCTCTATTGTTTGCTGATGATCTAATAATATATGCAACCAGTAGCAACATAATAGCACTCAAACCAGCAAGAGTCAAGAGTTTTTACTTGGACTATGTCAAATAAAATGGAAGTGAACACACAGAAAACTCACTTTCAAGCAGTAGCATGCTGAGAGCAAAGACATGGGGGGCACACAGTAAGTGATGGTTCTTGCATATAAAACCTATATACGCCCAGTACTGGAATACCGTTATGAGGTCATCTGTCAAAGACTGGCGAGCCAACAGAACAAAGCACTGCGTTTAATTTTGGGTGCACTCCTATTGCAGCTATGGAACTGCAGACCACAGCAGAACCCCTTTTGAAATGGCATGAGCAAGCTGCAATGTGTCTTCACGAGCGGATAAGAAGAATGGACCCAGAGTTTTGAAAAAAAATCCCAACTCAATGGCTCAAGACACCAGAATCATTCATGCTAAAGGCGAGGGCTTTGCTTGAAGAAAGAGGGCTTGACTGTAACGAAAGGGAGCCATTTATACAGGCGCAGTTCCCAATTCACAATTATGCAAGCAAGTTAGAGCTGAAACTCTTCCATAAGGTGGATAAAAAATAAACACCAGACTATGAGCTAAAAGCAATTGCACTAGAAACTATAGCTCAAAAATACCTTAATTAGGATTGGCTTCACATTTACACCAATGGATTAGCTGAATCAGCCATCAAAAATGCTGGGGCAGTTTACTTGAGGGAGTTTCAGTTCATTGCTGCTGTGAGTGAGGATGGTACGAATTTCGACTGTGAGATAGCAGCGATCCTCATAGCGCTAAGAACACTATCAGGAAGGCAAGTTCAGAGCGCTGTTCTATTCATACTCTCAAGCAGCAATCCTCGCTATTACTGACGTGAAATAATGTCTGTCGAGTGCTATCTTGGAGTGCAAATCTCTCCTCTATGGCTTAACACTCCAAGGCACCAATGTGGTCCTACAGTGGATTCCGAGCCGTTGCGAGACTCCAGGAAATGAGGAAGCAGATAGTCTCGCCAAGAGAGGAGCAGAATTGTCTCAATCAGTCAATCCAAAATCTTATGATTCAATTCGGCTAATGGTGAGGAAGGTAGTGAAGAAGGAAATAAACAAAATACACAGAGACAAGGTAGAGGGGAGACGTTATGAACGTTTTATGGAAAACTTGACCTCAGCTAACCTACCAAGAAAAGATGCAGTATCCTGCTTCAGCCTGGCCACTGGTCACGACTATCTACAAAGTCATCTCCACAAGATAGGCGTGGCTGAGGATCCTAGATGTAAATTATGCGATCAAGCAAAAATGGATGCAGGCCACCTAGACACATGTCCTGTTTTGATGGATATAAGAAATAAAACATTTGGAAATGAATGTATAAAAAAATCAAACTTATACTGGACGGCAAAATTTTGGATGATCAAATGACCAATGACTTTGACAAAGGAAAAAAAAAATTTTACTTTGAACATATTGTTTTGGAAGCAAGGATTCCACTCTCTATTCCAATAACTTTAAACAGTTTTGAACAATTAAGGTTTTTATCATAGATTTCATCATGTAAATCTTGTTTTTTAGAAGTCCAACCTCAAACAAGATGAACTATTTTGTCAAAAAAAAAAAAAAAATGATTGACCAAATTGAAAGATTTTATTTGTTAAAAAAAATAAAAGTTCATTATTTTCATTTAAACTTTTCAATGATATATTTTTCATGACTAATTTCATATTTTCATTTCCATTCTATTGTATATATTTCTTTATTTTATAACAAAATAACAATATAAATATGAATAGATTTGTATATATTATAGATATCACTATAACTAATCCAAGTAGCATTATGGTGTTAAAACTAATTTCTGATATGCTGTACATAATGTTTTTGTTGGTTTTATGTTTTGATATTTCAGAAGGAAGTTCAAGGAATAAAAGAACAAGTGATGCTAAAGCCTGTTGCTAAGGTTACTATTGGTTATTATTTATTAACAAAGGTTTATATTATATACATGAATAATATTTTGGAGCTTTTTACAGGACATCTGCTTCAAAAACTAACAAATGTATTTGTTTTTTTCTATTTCATATTATTATTTTTGTTAATGAAAAGTAAATCATTTCTATTACAATGGTATAAGAAAGTTTAATACACTTATGTACTACAACTTGGACAGGTTAATGTTATTACTGATATCCCTAACAAGGTAATAATAATACGATTTCTTAATATATGTTTATTAACAATTGTTAGTCAGACCCGGTCTAGTTCTGTTTGGGACCCTCGACTAGAGTCTGAAGTCTCTCTTATCAGGACTATATATTAGTGGTTTCCAGGAATTTAAATATATAATAAGCTTACCCAAATTTACAAACAAAGAATATTTGGGGCCCCCAATCATTCTATGGAGGGGCTCCAAACGTTTGTGGAATTAAACAAATTAATAAACATTATTTATAATTTTTATGGTTCATAATCGTCATTATGTTGCATAAAAGAATCATTATCTATTAGCCTTAAAGTCTGAAAAATAAATTTATCACTCAATATAAAAAGTAAAAAACACTTATGTTGAGGGCTCATTGGGTCAAAAATTTGTGGGAATAAACTAATACAAAACAATTATTTTGGGGGCCAAATGTATAACAGTACTAGATAAATACAAAACAATTATCTTCGGGGCCCTCATAGGGACCTCCGCAATCATTCTGCTATGATAAAATAGTACAAAACACTTACGTTAGGGGCCCATTGGTGGGGCTCCAAATATTTGAACAAATAAACGAATATAACACAACTACTTTTGGAGTACTAAAAAAATATAGAACAATAATTTCAAGACTCCTTCTGGGGACCACCTGGCTTTGGGGCCCTTGGCAATCATTGAGTATACAATTAATCAAGAATATACAATTAATTGGTCTCTTATATCAACCAGTCATTAACTTCATAGTAATAGTCCAACAGTGCCCAAAATGGTTTCATCTGAAGTATCTTTAATTTATTTTATTTAAAATAATTAAATATCTGAAATTATGAAAATGAAGTATTCTCCCATCAGATCAGGAACATTAAGTTTGTCACCTATAAATACGGATCAGTTCCAATGACAAAGATATGGGAGAAAAAACAGTTTCATAACTCAATTTTTCAAATATTTGAAAAATCATTATTTATAATATACAAAGTGAATTTAGGCAATTATATTTATTATAATACATCGCAGATCATGAAAAAACAAAAAATAAAAGCTTTGCAACAATTAATTGTAATAATTTTTTCTGAAAATATAGGCACTTTTAGGTGACAGTAAAAAAAAAAATAGAATTCAGGTTGGTTTAGCTGTTCCCCTTTCAATGGTTTTAATCATGACAAAATACTTTTGTTTGAAGTAAATTTTATCTAGTTTACAGAGAAGTACGAGTTAATTACTTAATAGATTTCTTTTTTATCGCTTCCAAAGCTGCTTGGCTCAACTTGTGCTATGAAACCCCCTTCTGGGCACCCCTGCCTGAGACTTGTTTAAGGGGGGTTCCTTTGTCCCTCCCGTACCAGTCTGCGTCTATGCTGTAATGTGTAATGAAAGGCAGGGGTGCCCGGAAAGGGATTTCATGCCCCAAGTTTAACCATAAAAATTTTTGAGGAGGGCACATTTTGACATGGTTTTTATTTATTTTTTTTTTGAGGAGGGCACATTTTGACAGGGTTATGAATTTTCGAAATGTAAAGTTTCAAACAAGGGGACAAGAGGAAAGCATAGAATAGACCACTGAAAGTGTAATTGTATATGACCTATGATTTTTAAAATTCTACTTTAGATTGTACTGTTGTTAAGAAAAGGAGGATAATAAAATATTTTGTCAGTAGGAGGAGGTTCATGAGCCATTGGCCTTGGGAGGGGGAAGATAGGCACTCCTGCTCCCAACAATCCCTATCCAGCACTCCAAACTCCAAAGCCAAGTAGGCAATCCTCCAGTGGGGGGTGGCCAAATGGGCTAACATTTGTGCACAGCATGACCGTTGCCCGGCAACCAGTTCGCTTCCCGGTAATGGGAGAGTCGTTTAAATCCCCAACCTCACTCCCTGACCTGGGAAAACTCTGTATAGCCTTAAAGGCCAGGAAGGGGAGGACCAAAAAAAAAAAAATTTAGGCAATCCTCTGTAAATTGTTTTTAGGTAAATACAACTAAACCCTGGCTACCTCTATTTCAGCCGATGTATTCAATACTCAATTTGTCTCCTGTTCCTCTCATTCCTCTGTCCAAGCACCATTTCCACCCCCATTCATCCTTTCTTTAACTCTAATACTTTTTTCTTTTCCTATATTTCCTCTGACCACTTCCTTAAATCCATTCATATATCCCACACCAATAATTTCGGACCAGATAACATTCCAGTTAAATTGATTAAATCCTCATTTTCAACCACTCTCCCTATCCTTTACCATATTTATAACTTTTCGCTACAAAGTTCTACTTTCTCTAATACCTGAAAAACTGCTCTTGTTCTTCCACTGAATAAAACCTCTAATGATTTCCACCCAATTTCTCTGTTATCAAACCTTTAGAACGATTATTTCAATCTCAATTAGCCCACTATCTTGGGCAAAAGAACCTTCTGAAGTGCCAACAATCCGGTTTTAGACCCAACTACTCTACCCATACCGGCCTTATTAAAATTTCCCAAGCACTCCACACAGCTATAGACTAACAGAAACTCACCATCCTTATTCTCCTTGATTTTTCCAAAGCATTTGACTCAGCAGACCATAATATACTCTTAACTAGACTCAAAAATATCTCCCTGTCATCTAGTGCCCTTAACTGGTTCCAATCCTTCCTTACTGGTCGCTCCTAGTATGTCGTAGTTCCTAATAATCCTCCAACAGAGTCTCTACCCTTGTCCAGAGGAGTTCGACAAGGTTCCTGCTTATATCCCACCCTCTTTTCCATCTATATCAATGATCTCCCTTCCTTTTTCCTGCACTGTCAATACCACCTGTTTGCTGACGATGTTCAAATTTATCTTTCCTTTGATCCTGCTGAATCCTCCAATGCTATATTTAAACTCCAGGAAGATATCAATAGAATATGCGCTTGGGCAAGTATAGAAGTTCTCTGGGAAGTATAGAAGAATTCGGAACATGTCTGCAATTTGTTGACTTTCCAAGTCACTTGGAAGCCACAAATTATTAATAACAATATTTTGAGTCATTCTTTAAATGAGAAACAAAAACTTAAATCTGTTCTTGAAAGAAAAATACAATTTTAGGTAAACAAAAAAAGAATTAATCAGAAATTTATACAGTCAAATCAGGTCCCTTGAGGTCCAATGGGCCCCAAGTACTCACTATCTCAAAACCTGGACGAATCAATGTCAGACGGAATATTGATATGTAAAGGTTTGCCAAGGATAGGAAGGTACCAGGAGTAGGAGAAGTACATGTTCAATCAGGAATATTTGGCAGAGCAAAACATATCTCCTGAGGTCCAATGGATCCCGTACGACCACTCTAGGGTTAAGTACCCCCTCCCCCCAGGTACTATTTATTTATTTTATTTTATCTCTCTCTTTTTATTTTATATTTATTTATGTCTATTTTTATTTCTCTTTATTACCTGTAATATCTGAAAAATCACTACATACGATTAATTATGACATAAAAATGTAATATTCACAAAAATTCATGGAAAGAAAACGCTTCTTTAATTTTAGATTAAATACTTCTTCTTTCTTTTTTAATATTTCTATTATGCTCTGTATTTATTTGAAATATTTAAAAAATATTATTGAGGTACTTTTCATCAAAAATCATACATCAACTTGTTAAATTACATTTTATTTACTTCAGAATAAACCAAATATCAAATCAACCTTTCTCTCACGTTTAGAATTTATTAAAATTAATAAATTAATAAGTTATTTGGCAATATGGTATTGATTTAATGTAGAAAAGTAAATAATAATCTTAAAATGTCCAGAGACAAAGGCCAGAGGGGTAAAATCAGTCTATTGGCTACGTCAGAGCTCGATTCCTCCCCACCATTTTCCTTCTGAGTGAACGAACCTGGTAGTTTTATTGACCTTGAGGAAAACTAGTAAGAGGAGGATGAACTATTGCTGGTAGAGAAAGATATAAGTACAAATTTAATACATCAGGTGAAACCGGATAGACTGATGAGGAAGAGGATTTGCAAAGAGAGAGTTTACAGAGGATTACCCATATTGATTCAGAATCAGGAGCAGAAGATGGGGTTTTGTGAAAGTAGTTTGATTTCACTTGTTTGTGTCAAGTTATGAACTATACGCTTGATAGTCATCTGCTAGATCCTCTGAATCGTCTACAGATATATACTATACTTTAAGCTCATTAGTATTTTCGAAGAATGCAGAAAAGCATCATTCGGTCTCTCTGTCCCTAGAAACCTGGAAGAGACCGGTGGCGATTATCAGAAGCTGTGCCGGCCTTAGGGCAGGACAACTGGGGTAATTGCCCCAGGACGCCCAATGGGGGCACTGATCTTCAGAGGCATTCACCACTTGTTAGAAATAAAAAAAAAAAACCAACCATATTAAAATATTTTGTAAAAATTTCTAATAAATTTCGGAAGTAAAGGTGTTCTGTTGGTAATATTAGACTACACTATTCTTCACCTACTACTCCAGACTCAAAATATATCATAGAGATTGTAGAAAAAAATTAAATTTCTGATTTAAAAATTATTACTCAACAATTATTATAATTGTTAATTGTAAAAATTTTGTTAAAAAGTAATGACCAGGATTTCATCACTAATGATCAAAAATTAAAATCACTCTTAATAAAAATCTTAAAATGATTTTTAAAAATTTTGATTGGATTCGATTTTGATTTTTTAATTATTGATTTCAAACCCTGATTAGAAGGTCTAGAAAATTTGCTTCAGGCATGAAATATTTCTCTAAAAAGAAAGATAACGAAAAGGTTCTTTTCTGAGCATGAAAACTGGGCTACATTGTTTTTAAAATAGTTTAAGTTTTATTATATAAATCACTAGCAGATCCAGGATTTAATTTTGGGGGGAGCTTCAGCCCGAAAGATGTTTTTTTTCATAAAAATAACGATAATTACTTTGGAAAAAAAGAAAGAAACTAACTACCTGTATGAAATGGTGTTTAAGTTATTCCTAAAGCCCTTTTAAATATAATTACACAAACAATAATACTTTAAGAGATTCTGTTTTAATATTTTTTTCGATAAAACCTGCCTATATTTTACCATTTTGGGGGGGCTTCAGCCCGAAAGCCCCCTCCCTGTAGATCCGCCCGTGATATAAATCACAACTTCTTCTTATGATTACAAAAATATGAGCCAATATTTCTTTTACATTTTCTGAAACATTTTTAAAAAAGGTTGCTTAGCTCAAAACTGCACAAAATGTGTTGATTATTTCTTGAAAAAAAAAAAATGTATAAAGCGGGAAGGTTATTTTATAGAATTTATAAGTTGTGTTTATGTATTTCAAAGGTTTCATCGTAATAATTTTTTTAATGAAATGGTAACTAAAATTACACTGGTTGAAGCTAAATTAATATAGTGAAGAAAAAAAAATAGTAAACTGAATTATCAAAAGCAGTCTTGAGCAATAATACTCACAGGCACTAATTTGAACTATAAATAAAGTAATGCAGGAGTTATGTTTCAACTGGTGGGATAGAGGGCCTGTTCCCCCAAACCTGACTATTTTGTACTCTGAAGTGAGAGTTTAAATGAACTTTAGGTCACCAACTTTTTATAAAAAGGATGCTATATTATATATACTTTATTTTAAAGTTATTTTTGTCCTCTTACATCGGCGATCACACCTACTGTGGTACAATTTCTTTATTCTGTGTTATTTATGAAATGATTATAAACACGTAGAAGTACAATAAAATTGTATGGCTGCTTAACTGTGTTGGGTTGCTAAATCACTTAGCATACTGATCAGTCATAATTGATACCATTTAATAAAATAGAACATATAGGATAAAGTATTAGGGGACAATCATCCAAGGTACTGAATGTTATAATTTATTCATTCATTTTTAATCTTCTGACTTTCTCCCCTTTCACTTTGGTTTGCGGAGTTCACAACAAAGCACCCAGAACTAATACAGGTGATGGTGTAGGATTCCTAATGAGTCTAATAGATTCTGCCTTTCCACACCTAGCTCTTCCAAAAATTCAGCAGTTGAAGGTGGAATCACTCCTCTATTCCCGAAACCCTCTATTCCATAGTCCCTGAACCAAATATTCTCTCTCATCAAATTCTTCCCTATATTTCTTCTGTAGGTATTGAATGCATTTTTTATAGATTTCCTCCATTTCTTTTTGTACTTTGTGATCTTGATCCTCTTCATTTATTTCATAGTAGGATCATTTGTCTAATAGTAGGATCAACTATCAGAGCTAATATAACAATAATATCAGAGTTTCTTTTCCTATTCCATTAAAGGCTAAGATATCTACAAATCTCGCTGTGCCTTCTGTATCAAGGCAATACACTTATAGGAATCATCTATACAATATTATAATTTATATATTATTATGGATAAATGTATATAAAGGACCAGGGGTGTCCAGAAGGAGGTTTCATGGTGCAACTTGCATCATTCAAATTTTTGAGGGGGGCACATTTTAACTGGGTTTTGAATTTTTGAGGAGGGCACATTTTAATTGGGTTTTGAATTTTTGAGGGGCACATTTCGACGGGGCTGTGAATTTTTGGAGTGAAAAGTTTCAAAACAGAGCACTTGGGGGAAAACATGGGACAGACCACAGCAAGTATAATTATACATGGTCTATGATTTGTCTAATCCTACTTTCACTTGCACTATTTTTAAGAAGAGGAGAGAAATACAATTTTTGGATAGAGGAGATGGTATATGCGCTATAGACCTTGAGGGGTGGGGTACCTCTGTAAAGGAGGAAATATTATGTATAAATCATCAGTTGTTACATAAAAATATTGATTATTTTTTTGTTACTTTTTACAGAAAGAAAAAAATACTGCTGAAATTAAAGAAGAAAGGAAAACATCATTGACTGCCAAGGTAAATTATTAATTTATGTTCCCAAACTAGTGATGTATAAAAATTGTTACCCTTAGTACAATTATTGTATTTATTTTTTAAAGAATATTCTTAGTATTTATAATTACTAATACTTTAAAAGAAATATAAATAAATCTTGTGTTATTATGTAATTCTTTACTGTTATAAATATGAATTATTAAAACAATACTATTATGTAACAAATTTTTCTGGCCAAAGTTAGACTGACCAAATATTGTAACGATGATGGTTGGGTAGAGAAGAGTGATGAAAACAAATACAAGCAATTCAATAGAAGTCCCAATAGTGGGGAGAGGTGATAATGAGCAGTGTTATCAGGGTTAACTAACTTTTTTTCACTATTGTTTCTTTGTCTAAATGGATGTTAAATTGAAAGTTTTCAGTATCTTAATTATTAAATTATTATAGATAAACTCATCTATTTAAACTGATTTAATTAACAAAATTAATTAACAGTTTAATTTTTATTCTCATTTTTATATTAACCTAATATTTATTTTTGCCTATTCGTAAAATATTTATTTAGGGAAAGTATTACGATCATGAAAAATTCTGGATCTATTTTTTTTTAATCAAAATAAATGTTCAAGATCTCCAGAATCCAAATAACCTAGTCTCACAACGGATTTTGTGTGTCTAAGTATTTATCTGAATTCAGAGCTCAAAAATGAAAATAAATAGGACACAGAAATAATGTATTTAAGGGAAATGTAAATTATTATAATAATGCTATCATGAAATCATTGTTACATTTTTTTTGTACAGTACTCCAACATTTACAGATGAAAAAAAAATAGCTAAACAAAATTTATACTTTATATTACATAGTATAAAAAGAAAAACCTTACACAATAAGGTCAAAGAGAATTAATCCTCAATAACAAATAATGAGAAAAGAAAATAGTCTTTTTATTTATTTATTATAGAAACTTTAAAACACAGCTAATCCTCAAAAATTAGTATGGTGAGAAATGAGGAAGAGTGATTTCTGATTTTGGAGGTCAACATAAAAAAGTAATAGAACAATCATTTCTAGTCACTAAAAAATCGGACAAATAGCTTAAAAGACAGACACCAAACATGACTCAGATGAGGGTCCAGAAGAAGTAGTACCACTTGAGAATAATAATAGAAGATGTTACAAAATCAACCACATACTGGCCTACATTGAAAGAAATATTAAGGAATACCATAAAGGAATATTCAGACCTAATAGATCCACAGTAGACCATTTTTTTCTCTTTAAAATATGTGAAAAGACAAAAGAATTTAATAACACCATGTGGACACCATAGGTTCAGAAGACCTATAACAGAATATCTCAGTGTAATCTTTACCAGGATCTCAAAGAAATGAATATTCTGACCAAGCTAGTGAGATGAACAATGAGTATAATAATTAGTCAAGTAATTCTTGTATTTTTATGTGTACTAGTAATGAGTCTTTATTACATCAATAAAAAGTAATGTGACAGATATTTAGTCATAATTTTTTTAATAGTGATGTTTTGAAAAAGTGACTGTCACATTGTTTCATAATAATTTTCTGCAGTCATGAACAAACATTTACAAAATTATGTCCAATAAAAACTAGTTAAATCATTCTAATCTTTATTTATTTTTAATTTCCAACAATAATGAAGAAATCTTTGCTGTCAATGTCAAGGTCTAGTTATAATTTTTGTAACTATTCGAATATAGTGAGTTAATTATAATATTTGTGTATCCAGATATGGTCAGGGAAAAATATTATTAAATTGGGAAATGTCAAGGAATTTTACTTTAACTGTCTAGTAGCCATCTTGTACAGTGTACCTGAGTGAAAATCTAAAAAAGTTATTAAAATAATACATTTTTACATAGATATTTAAAAAAAAATTATGAAGCAAAGCTCCAATGTACTCGACGAGACGTCCAAAACTATATTCGAACAAAATGGTTGAAATAATTGTGGTTCATCTTCTTCATAATTTTCTAAAAATTAGATTAAAAATATTTGCCTAAACGGTCAAACAATAATATATTTGTGATATAATAATATTGGGCAACACAATAATTGCCACGATTGTCAATTAGAAATGCAATGATTTAAAAATAATGGATAATAATAATAATAATAAAAGGAGTGGAGTGGAGGTGCCTGGGCACATACCTCTTCCCTCCATACCCACTCTTACTTCATTCTATACTCTATGAAAAAAGCTAGAAAATGTTTACAAGATGAATAAGAAGAAGGTTAGCTAAAAAGCTGTTTTAAGAAAAAGATGAAAGAGTAAGACCTAATGGAAAACCAAGAACTATATGGATAAATAATGTCTTCGACAAGATGAAAATATGCACATCTCCATCACTCATGCTAGTGAGTTAGGACAATTAGGGTAGAGCAATTTGACAGGCCAAGGACTGCTTCGTTCGGTTGAGGCAAATATTTTTATCTAATTATTGAATATTTAATAGTTGACCGTTGGATTATAAAGGAAGGAGATGGTCCAGGGTTGCGGTCATAAATAGGCTAAATAGTGGTAAAACTATTTTATTGAAAGCCGACGTTTCGAACCGACTTTGCAGGTCTTCATCAGGGAGGTGTGTTCATCTAGGAGTTTCACTTAGAACTGGAACTGGTTCTAAGTGAAACTCTGGACCCCGGACCATCTCCTTCCTTCATTTTTATCTAATGTTTGATCTCTTTCAAAAAATTTTAAATACCTTTATATACCACAATATTGTTGATTTTTTACTTAAGTGTTTATTTTAGATTTCATACAAAACCTAATTTTTTATATTAAACTAAATGTTGACTGATATAACTAGAATGGTAAACCTAAGGGTTCCCATATGAGGGATTTGCCAGATTCAGAGCTAGATGGAAAATTTTTCACAAGAGATGCAACCTTAATTTTGCTGCCCCTTCATTAATTCCTTCCCCTTTTCCTCAATGAAAGTCAATAGTATTTTAAATATCATATAAAACTATTTTATTGACTTAAAAAGCTGGAACAAATATTTTTTATTTATCCTAAAAATACAATTTTGTCCAAAATTGTCTTCCTCCTTAATGCTGCCACCAGAGGAAAGTTCCTCCCTTTGCCACCTCTCTGGTTCTGCCCAGACCCATGATCTCATGATTCAAGGTGTCTGGTAAATTTAATTAGGTTTGTATTGAAGTTTTTTAAGTTATATTTATTTGTGATTTGATAGCACCTTAATAATTATAATATTGTTATGTTATAAAATGTTATAGAAAGGAACGATTCAAGAAGTAGAAGAAAAGAAAGATGAAAAATTATCTCTCAAACCAGTTACTAAGGTATAATTTATTATCGCATTACATTTAAAATACTAACTCGGAATGTAAATAATATTTCCTAAATAAATTTTTGAACTAGGATTAAAGTATTAAAAATAACTTTTTATAATTGATTATTTAAAAAAACTATTTCTAGTAGCTTGATTCTTTCAAACATGAGTTACTTCCTCTAGTGCCAGCCTTAGACATTCAATGCCTCCGGGCAATGACTCCATCTCCTCCTCCCTATAAAAATTACATTTATTTCTTAAGCAATTTTATATTATGTAAAATTTGAATTTTGTTTCATTCGATATCTCTCTAATACAGTTGCTTTTTAATAGGCTAAAATTAATTACTTTAATGTTTTGCATATTTTTTTTTAATTTCTAACAAGTAGTGAGCGACCTTGACGATTGTCACATCCCCAACTGGCACCTCTCCAGATGAGCACTCCAGGGAAATTGCCCAATTGCCCTGCTCTAAGGCTGGCACTGACTTCCTTTTAGTGCAGTATATAAAGAATAACATTATTCAGGAAGAACCTAACATGGAGTTAAAATTAGTTGTTTGAAAAAAAAAAAAAATCATTTTGAAAACTAACCTCCTTTGATTTTTGATCAACTGTATATAAACGATTTAGTAGTATTATTTGTATATATTTATATTTGTAAATATGTATATTTGTACATATGTATATATATTTTTGCATTGTGTGAGTGTGTTCATAAATGCCAATGGAACCTTGGAACCATAACCAAGATGAACAACAGTATATAATAAATGTAAGATGGAAGTAAACACCATATAATTTTTATGTTCAACAATAGAAAGTTATGTTTTCTTTTCTTTTTTTTTTTTTTTTTTTTTTTTTTTTTCTTTTTTTTACCATCCAGAAAGAAGTTCAGGGAATTAAAGAACTAGTAGTACTAAAGCCAATCGGAAAGGTCAGTATTTTTTCTAATTCACTAGATGATATGCATTTTCTAAAATACAGCATAAAATTACAATTCATATCTAAGTGTATTATATGTGGCACTATTAGAGCTTTCTAACACCAATAAATGGACAAAATATATTCAGTGTTATTCAATAATTAAGTGGGTTTTAAAAACTAACAACCTAGGCTTCATGCTTTTGTATAATAGTATAAATTAACAGCAAGGTTCATTCTGTAGATGCCTCAATTGGCAATTCATTGACTGGTTTGTAATATACTGTTTAGAGAGTGACTTAAGGGTATTTATTAGTTTAGAATCATCCTGAAATAAAAATATCTTCTTTTTGACAATTATTATAATGTGTACATAAAAAAAAATGTCCTCATATTTTTTCTGTATGACATGTTATGGAATAAAAAAAATATATAATATAACATGATCAACATGTAATTTATCTAGTTAGAACAAACAAAATAAATTAAATTAATTAGAATTGTCAAAAACCTTAAATAATATCAAATTCAACACTGAGACTTGTAATTCTTCCTTTTTTTGTGGATCAGTGGTAAAATTTACAAGAAAATCTTCCTTCTTAGTAAATCTATGGAGTGTTATTCCTTTCTATTTCCTCTTCTTTAAATTTTTATTTACTAATGGCATTATTTTATGTATGCAATTCTACATACATATATATATATATATATATATATATATATATATATATATATATAGCATTTCCAAGTCAATTTCAACCTTTTTCATGTCAAATTCAACCTTTTCCAAATCAAATTAAACTTTTTCCAAGTCAAATTCAACGTTTTCCATTTCAAATTAAATCTTTTTTTGTTTATTTAATTATTTTTAATTTTTCGATGTATGGATCAGTTATCGTATGAATAGTTTAGAAAATAATCTTCATTTTAAGATTACGCCACTGCGTATCGACTTATTTAAGTTTTTCCCATTTATTCGATATAATGGTATATTCTTATGTTTCGAGAACCGTAGATTTTGAAAATAATGTCTATTTTGAGATTACGCCACCGCGTATCGACTTATTCAAGTTGTTCGCATTTATTCTGTATAAGGGTGTATTCTTATGTTTCCGGAGCCGTCGGTTTTGAAAATAACATCCATTTTATGATTATGCCACTGCGTTTCTACTTATTTAAATTTTTCGGATTTATTCGATATAAGGGTGTATTCTTATGTTTCCGGAGCAGTCGGTTTTAAAATAACATCCATTTTATGATTATGCCACTGCGTTTATACTTATTTAAATTTTTCGGATTTATTCGATATAAGGGTTTACTTTTATGTTCTTAAACATAAGAATACACTCTTATATCGAATAAATCCGAATAGGTACAATAAATCGATATCCGAAAGTTTAACATAAAATCGATAGTAGTTTTAAAACTCTAGTTAGGGGAGCCTCATAATAGACCTTCATATTGGAAAATGGCACTTTTTTCGAAAAAAATAAAAATTTACAAAAACTCAAAACTTTAATTTGAAATGGAACAGGTTGAATTTGACTTGGAAAAAGTTTAATTTGAAATGGAAAAGGTTGAATTTGACTTGGGAAAAGTTTAATTTGAAATGGAAAAGGTTGAATTTGACTTGGAAAAAGTTTAATTTGATTTGGAAAAGGTTGAATTTGACTTGCAAAATGTAGGATTTGACTTGGCAAAAACTTACTATGACATGGAAATATTATACCGAAAAAATCTAAAAAGTAAAAACAAATGGATATGGAACCCTGTTATCACATTATTTATTTATTTTTTTTTTTTTTGTATTTTTCTAAAGACATGCTTTTGATAATATAGCAAGTGGCCTTTATCTCGAAAAAAATCGAAAATTTACAAAAATTCAAAAGTTGAATATGAAATGGAAAAGGTTGAATTTGATTTGGAAAAGGTTAAAATTGACTTGGAAATGTTATGTATAGATGAACCATTTTTTTCTTGCAGTGGAATGCCCTTTTCATTATTAACCTGACTTGGAAAGCTGTGTTTTTTAATTATTTTCTTGATATTTAACATGAAAATTAGTGTAATATTTTTTACATTGGTGTTATTTTGTTTTAGCATTTACAACTAGCATGATTTATTTATTTTTTGTTAGTTGTTATATTTTCAAGGAATGTAATAGCTCTGAATTTCAAAATCTGACTTTAATATAAAATTTTAAAATTTGTTATATGTTAACTTTTCCAAGGTGTGCTTGTTGCTTGCATTGTGACTCGTTAGAATTGTTTGGATAATTATTATGAAACAAAAGAAGACCATAAGTAGGTTATAAAAAATTAAATTAAAAAAGGAAATGTTATATAATTGTTAGGAATATTATTTTTAATCTCACAATTTTGAAATAGTGGTAATACAGTGAAACTTCTTCTTGCAAACACTTTCCCATAGCAGACTTATCTTGAGTACTCATGCTTCGTCTGTGAGAAGAAAGTACATTTTTGTGTTATCTGGCTCTTCTAATTAAGCTTTGTCTAGATATATGTCTAGGAATTATTAAAAGATTACAAAATATTTCATTAAATGTTGATAAGTCATTTAAGTTATTTCATTGCATATTATGATTCAGAAACAAATGATGGTAAATTGCCAATAAAGACAAAAAATCTCTGTCACAAAATATTAGACTGAAAAAAATAATATTTTTAAGGACGACAGTAAAGGAATTTTACTGATTTTACATAGTAAAGCTAATTTGGAAAACAAAATAGTAATGCACCTAAAAGATAAAAAAAAATACCTATTACTATTTTAAGTAATTTAACTTTATATACATGTATATAAGTATTTATGAAAAGCCTATTTCAATTATAAATTTAAAAATAATAATGTTTTTAAAGAATAAAATATTTCATTTATATGACTAATGATAATGAAATAAAATTTTAATCTCATAATTTTTTTTTATCAAGTTTTACTTCTAATTTCTCTAAAACATTTTTCCATAGCTGATAAAAATGGATGTCTGCCACTGAGAAGTTTTACTGTAATATTAAAGATAAAATAAAGCTCATTAAATTAATCATTTTTAGACGTAAGAATAATTTAGTCTCTGTTTTGCATGAATTTGGTATTCTTGAAAATTTCTTTTAATGTATATGTATGTATTATGTAGTTTGTAAAAAGTAAAGGTTTCATATTCCCAAACATTTTGTTTATTCTTTTCTTCATTCTATGGGCACTGACAGATATTTGAATCTTCCCCTAATTTCATCTTCTTAAGATGATATAGTAATGCATATAAGATGAGGAGACCAGTTATTTTTTCAATTTTTTCCTTACCAGATTTTTCCTGACTATTAGTGTGTAAACCGACAATGATAGCTTTGATGTGACAAAGAATGAAAGCTCTATTATAGTTTGTAGAAATAATCATCTTAAGAGCTGGCTGTACATATTGGTTCCAGACACCTCATTTGTTCCCTTCCTTACTTTTCTCTAATTTACCCCAGTAACTTCCAAATCTATTTTCTCCTAACAGTCAAAAAATCCAGGAGTAACTAATGAATTACAGAAATATCATAACTCAAATAACACATTTATTTTTCAATATTTACATAATCACACAATAATCAAAAACATCTTGTTTTTTTGGTTACCAAGTTCAACCTCCCACAAAAATAAAATTGATTAATATTTACTAAAAATAAATTTGATAATACATTACAGTAACCTTTGTTCATTACCTCTCCTGGAATAAAGATATTTCCCAGACTATTAGAACAGCCCTTAACAACTCCTAAGATTCCATGATTCCATTCCTCAAAAAATTGGTCCTGCATTATGAAATCAACTCTTGGGTTCATGGAAATGATTCAGGATTCTGGAGGAGCTGGGCCAGGTCATGATCATTCTGCATAATTCCACTTTAGGCAGCAACGGGATTTGAGTGACTAGTTGGGCTACACCAGGTCTGTACGTTTTCCAGTACTCAATATTGTTCTGCTGGAGGCATTTGCTTAAGGTTGAAATTAAGGTTAAGCTGTTTCTTGTTTATAGTACTGTTCAATCTGCAGCTCCATTGCTATAATAGGAATCAACTTAGATCCAGCTGTAATAGTTCCTGTAGTATTCTGTTATAGCATGATTCTGGACCATATCAAGGGTTTTGACAGTTGATTCAGAATCAGTAACCAAAAGATCAGTTCTATACACCTTTGTCAATCTCACTTAAGTATTATAACTTAGTATAAGCAATTATTGAGAGGCTTCCCCTTTGGTCCCCTTTAGCCTTCTCATTGGGTCTGACCTATTGGTTTCTTTTGATGTGTCATTTTTTACATTACCACTCCATGTTAAACAGGACTTCATTGCAATTTGTCTCTTAGTCGAGAGATTAAAAAGCTAGTCTGTATTCAGGATATTCTTCATCTCTACTTCATTTTGCATTGCCCGGTCTGAGGAATATTAATTGAAGTTGCCTGAACCGCCAAGTCATCTGCATAAAGCAATGCACTGACTCCTGTGAGCAAGAATACCACAGAGATCATTTAATCAATCATTACATTAAAGAGGATCAGGCTTAAAAGGGACTTAACAATGCGGAGCATCGTTTCAGGTTTGTCTGAAAGATGGGTTTTGTCCTTATAACACATAAGACATAAGGATCTCATTGTATACCTCTATTGTCCCCTCTCCTAGAAAACTAATGGTATTGATTAGGTTATAATCAAACTAAATCTGAGGATTATAGTTCCTCATAAAGTTTCCAAACCATTTGGATACCATTGTATAACCAAAGTGTTTGTATTATTTTTCTTTCAATTTCTGTATTGAATCTGCAGGTGATTCGGGGAGACATGCTAATTGTTTATAAATGTATTAATTTATTGTTTAGCAAATATTAAGTAAAGTATCTCTAGCCTATTATTTGTTATAAATGTAGGTTTTTTTCAACAATAGCAATATCCAGATTATTATATAACAAATAGGTAATCTTAGAGTTCCTCAATTCTGTGTCAGAACTTTCCATATTGTTTCAGGCATGAATAATTTGTCCAATAAACTAAAAATAAAAACAAAATTACCTGCCAGCAATGACCTCGAATCAACATATGTACATACACTGTTTTAAAGTGTTTATCCATTTTTTTTTTTTTTTTTCGTTTTCATCTGTAAAAAAGACAAGGCTCTCAAACCTATCCTGTGAAGATTATTTATTAAAAATTATAACCTTTTATAAGAGACTAATCTAATTGCAAGTAACCCTATTATGACTAACCCATACCCATTTTATGTGTAAACACAATTTTCAAACAATATCAAATCACAGGGAAGCCTGAACTATGTTTTAATTTGATTGAAGTATGAGGAATTGTTTTTAAAATGATTTAATTGATTTAAACCAGATATTTTTATGCTTCATTAGACTCTTGCCAAAGTTTAGAGCATTGAATTTTCCTTATTACTGGAGCTAGAAACAAGCTTAGTGAATGGCCAATGAAGTTCATTTTATTTTCTCCACTTTACCTCACTTCTTTTGTGCTACGATTCAAGAATCATTTTTAGTCTGGTTTGTACCTGTTTTTTTACATGGTCTGTATCTTCTATACCTACTGTAATTCAGGTCTGATTTAATCCTTAGAAAATAACATGATGGTAGAAGCAAGTAGCAATTGTTCCACTTTGTCAGAATATTTTTGTTCATGGCTCTTACTCTCTCATTGAAATATGCTTTAACTTTATGATCAGCAATGAGTTGTTTTATTTTTGTTAATTGCCATTTTTTCACATTTTCTCCTAATGACTTTTGTTTATATAATATATTTTCTTCTTTCTCTTTAAATTAAAATACTAATAAATAAAATATATAGTTCCTTAATTTTCATTTGTTTATTTATTATTTTTGTAGAAAAAAGCAGCACCTCCTGAAGCTAAAGAAGAAAAAGAACTTTCAATAAATGCTAAGGTATGCTATTTTTATTCTTCTTGAATTCACAAATATATTGCTATATGAATCAGAATTTAGTAGATAGTTGATTGTGATAAATTTATTAGAGGAATATTAATAATGCATTCATTTGTATTTGGGGTTACAGTCCAGTTTAGGAATGAGGTATAGAGTGCGTGAGCAGGAACCTAAGCAATTTCTTCAGAAACTTTTTCAGGGTGCTTAGAGTGTAAACATATTAAAAGTATTGACGTATAAGTGGTTAGCCAAGAAGGGAGGGGGAAGGTCACGATTTTCAGCTTATATCTCGAAAACGGTGCATTGTAAGGGAAAATTGTCTGATAATAAATAGAAGTTTATAAAATTGCCTAAACTTTTATTCTATAAGTTTTTCCTGAATCCTCAACCGTTATCGGAAAAAGTTGGCATTTAAAAAAAAAAAAACATTTTATCCCACATTTTCATCAAACATTCCTTCCTATCATCTAGGCTATTCATCAGTGAAAGAAATTCATTTAAAATAAGTTGTAGAAATTAAAATTCCCTATTAGGATATATATACATATGCAAATTAATCTCCAACCAGTCCATATATATATATATATATATATATATATATATATATATAGAGAGAGAGAGAGAGAGAGCAGGGTAGCTCAGTGGACGAGCACTGACTTCCAGAGCTCAAGGTCCCAGGTTGGAATTCGGATGACGAATACTTTGTCATCAGCCGTGGGTCGACCCTGGGCCAGGGAGACCCTCCTGGGGCAAACCCAGCCTTTATAAAGTGGGTGCTCTTAATTAAATAATTAATTAAGGGGGAAAACCTGGGGGTTGAGCTTGATATTGACCCATCACCTCCCTGCACAACCGTTGGCCTTTTAACAGTTCTTCCTCACGTTGTACTGAACCCAAGAACCTTCATGGATTGTTAGTGGTACAGGTTTTATGTATAAGTATGTAAGAATAATGGTTGCTTTAGATGATTACAAAAGTAGAATTAGCAGTGTAAGAAATTCTTCTACTGTTGTGGAATAGGTGAAATAGAATTCAGGATGAGAAGTGATTTTTTAAGAAAAGTAATTTCCAAATTTAGAGATAGGAAGTATGGTGGAATTTGAGAAATTTTTTATTATATTCTAAACAGATAATCATGAACAAAGTATAAGTTGAAAGAGAGGAAGAAATAAAACTATTGCAATTTAGAAATGGAGATATAACACATCACTCATTAAGTCCCCAGTCTGACACATAGATGGCAACATTGTTGACAGACCCATGTGATTTCCAGGTATTTCAATACTGGTCAAACAATACTAGTCAAAATTTCATGGCATTCTGACTATTAGTTTAGAGGTTTCAGTTGTTATAGTGACCCAAGTTTTGTAATTTTCAAGGCGATTGATAGAAAGAAATTTTCTGTTTATTAAACACTGTTTTTTGATGGGTAAAAATACTGTTTAAGCCAAACTGTGGCTTGATAAGCTTTGTGGGGACTCTGCACCAGGGAAATCATCTATTATTGACTAATATGCTGAATTGTACAAGCACCGATGATGCTGAACGCTCTGGTCGCCCAAAATCAGCAGTTGTTATGGAAAACATAGAAAATGTCCACAAAATAATTTTAAAGACTGTAAAATGATGAAGTTGCGTGAGATAGCTGATACCTTGAAGATATCATAAGGTAGTGTCTTTACAATTTTACATGAAAATTTGGGCATTGGCAAGTTGCTTTCAAAGTGGGTGTTCACACTGGACCAGAAATAACAATGCGTTGATGATTTAGAGCTGCTCAAGCAAAATAAAAAGGATTTATTGCGTTGGTATGTGACAATGGATGAAACATGGATCCACCACTATACCCCTGAATCAAAAAGATCGTCAGCTGAGTGGACAGCAGCTGGTGAAAGACATCCAAAACGACTAAAAACTCAAAAGTCGGCTGGCAAGATTATGGAATCCGTATTTTGCAACACACATGGAATTTTGTTCATCGATTATCTTGAGGTAAAATTATCAATAGTAAATATTACATTTTTTTTTTTAAAACAAAGTTTTTCTTAGTTAGACTGGAGACTTATTGAGTGATGTGTTAGTTGATTGTTAAAATTATAACGAAAGATATTCAGGATATGTTTATTAAGTTTTCCGATGTTTCTATACAACCATGTGAATTATCATCAGGGCAATGGTTTGCTGGCAAAACAATAACTCTCTTGTCGATATTACTTGGGTCAAAACATCAGCAAACTTAATTAACACTATTATTATTCCCATTCTTTATTCTCGCTTTGCGGGGTAAGTTTCTGAGGTGGGAGACCAGAAGTCCAGCCACTTCAAATTAATATCTATTACTTTTTAGATATTTAAAAACTTTCGAACAATAAGTGCTTTGTCCAAGAGAACTGAGTGTTGAGCCTCTTTCAGCACTTCAAGAGGTAATTTTAATCCCATCGTGCCTGCCACTGTTGTCTTTGGTATCAATCCATTGGAGGATATTATAATTGGAGTGGTGGTGATGTTCCCCAAATGATATAATTCCTTCAGTTCGATAGCCAGTTCCTGGTATTTTCTCAGTTTTTCTCCAACAGTGGAGCTTATATTATTATCATTGGGGATCCCGACATCAATAAGCTCTGCTCTTTTCTCTCTCAGATCTATCAGAAGGATATCTGGTTTATTGTGACGCACAATATGGTCAGTTATAATCGATTCATCCCAGTAGAGCTTGAGACTTCCTTTTTGGAGGAGTTATTACTATTATTATTATTATCTCGACGCAACAAACTGTTGCCAACTCCGGGCCTCCACCAGTAACTTCCGCCAATCATTACATTTTCGTGCAGCCGGTTGCGCACCTGGTTCCAAGCGTCAATTGTACTTTGTCTACCCATCTATGCTTTGGTCTTCCTCGACTTCTCGTTCCATAGAGACGCTCCATCAAAAGCTTCCTGGGCAACTTTTCTTCCCTCATGCCCATCACATGCCCCACTCATCGCAACCGTCCCAGTTTAACCATCTGAACGACATTTGGCTCTGTAAATAGATCATAAACCTTCTGGTTTGTGCTCCTCCTCCAGGTTCCATCCACCAACACTCCTCCAAACACCCTTCTAAGGATTTTCTGCTGGAACACAAAGAGAATCTGTTCATTACATTTGGTCATAGTTCACGTTTCTGTGCCATATATTAGCACTGGGCAGATTATGGTTTTCTAAAGATGTAATTTAATTTGGCGGGATAGAATGTGGCTTTATCCACAGGCTGGTTCTTTATCCAGACAAGAGGTTTGGGACCCAGTTAGAGGCTTTCTGAGCTTATTTATCCAACAGAACTCTCTTAACTCTTTGCTTTTGTGCAAGGCTTCAACTTTCTGCAATTCTTCATGCTCTTTCTGCCTCTTCTTCCCACGATGAAGTTTCTTCTCCTCTCAACGAAGCCTCCTGTACTCGAAATTACCTCTCATCCCCCTCTGCCTCATAGCATGAATGCCACATTCTTTTGATGAGTTACATTTTTGCATTCATCATCAAACCACAGGGAACAGCATTCCTCCTGGGCGAGTCCGAGAATGGCATCAGCCGTTTCATCTAAGGCTTTGAAGCAGGCCTGTCACTCATCTTCTACCGATCCTCGTTCATGTTGATTGTAATACCTTGTCAGGCTCAACTGTATACTGGTCTAATACCATTGGGTCTTGGTGCTTATGCAAGTTGAATCATTTATTCTTTCTACTCCTAAAGCCCAGTCTTGATGTAGAGATCCTGGCTGTAAGGTGTGCTATTGAGAGGTAGTGGTCGTAGTCGACATTAGCTCCTCGGTATGTCCTTGTATCGAGCAGATTTTATTTATATCTCCCTATCAGCAAGTGATCGACTTGTCTAACAATCGATCTATCAGGTGTGATCCATATACCTTTAAGTATGTCCTTGTGGGGAAATACAGCGCCACACACAACAAGATCTCTGGATACCGCAAAGTTTACCAGTCAAGCTCATTATCATTGCTAGCTTCATGAAGACTATGCTTTCCAGCAGTTGGGGTATAGATGTATTCTTTCCCTACCTTCACGTTGAAATCTCCTGCAACTATCTTCATATCATACCTAGGTCATGCATCAAAGGTCCTTTCAAGGAGATCATAAAACTGGTCCTTCTCATCTTTGCTAGCTACTTCCGTGGGAGCATGAACACTAAGAATGCTATAGTCATAGAATTTTCCACGGATAACAATGAGACATAATCGCAGAATAATAGCTTTAAATCCAATCACAAATTGCCTACAGGTGCCACGATCCCAGTACCAAACTCATGAAGCCTATCATTGCAGCTATAATATATGGAAAATTTTTTCTTTTCTAGGGTTCCACTTCTTGTCCAACGCACTTCCTGGATGGCAGCAAGGTCACATTTATATTTGTCTATCTGATCTAGGAGCAATTCTAGTGCTCCAGGTCTATAAAATGAACGTATGTTCCAATATCCGAGATTGGAAATCCTTTTAGAAATTCGGGTCTATTACTTTTTAATCTGTTTATATCTGAGGCTTTCGTGTCGGATTTCGAGATAATTCAGTTTCGGATAGCGGGAATATCAACTCTCACTGTGTACTCTAGTCTGCTGATGGGGCTGCCACCTTTGTGGCTGCAGACCTACAATCCCATCCTTCGGGGCAGTTTCCTAGGCAAGATGACCAATTACCAATTAAATGATTAATTAATGACTGTTAATGACCTTTGTCTGTAGAGTGTAGGGATGAGTGTATTGTGCTGTTTTAGAGTGAACTATTTTCCCAACTTGGAGGGCCAGTGGCCGATTGTGGTACTAGACGGGGTGATGGGACCGCCACCTCCATACACCGAGTAATTAACACTATTAATGACCGCATATTCTGACTATTCATCATTATTGTAATTTATGGTTTCCAATGTCTACCTTATTATGTTACATTGATACATTTTATTTTATAAAACGGATTCCTATGAACCAGATACATAGCTAATTGAACAAGTAGTTAATTGTAACTTTACCAGAATATTCAGTCTTGGGTTTCTATTGCTAAAAATGAATTTCCTCCATAGACTTGTTTTTTTTTTTTAATTATCAATTCTAATTTAATAATAATTATAATTTTTAAAAACATAATGTTTTATCAGTTATAATTATTTTAGTTTTCTTTTTATTAAGGATTTTTCCACTACTGTGGTTTTCCTTGACCTAAATTATTTTTGAGATGTTTTTCCATTACTCTTTATTCAAAGCTTACTCTTCCTTGATGTGATGTCCATTTCTTTTAAGGTTTTCTTCCACCTTATCTATCCATTTCAGAATAGAATAGAAAATAAATTTTATCCAGGGATTAGGTACCTTAAGAAGAACAACATGTGTACACAAAAATTTAATATAAAGTTAATATATATAAACAACAAAATGAAATCAACTCCAGGATACATATAAATGAAAAGAAATAAACAGGCAAAAACTTAAAATAATAATAAATATAGTAATAAATCAAAAGTATTTCATTGCATATTTTGTGGATTTTTGCTGCATAAAAATCAGGACCCTGGTTATAACAAATATTTTGTTCTTTCATTTTATTGAAAAATGCCAATGCCTTAACTCAACTTTTCTAGACTGATAATTATATATAGACCCTATATTGAAATTTTTCATATTTCAATAATTAATGTCAACATTACTGTTAAATGAGGTCTTATTCTTAAATGAAGATAATAAAGGAATAAAAAGATGTTTTTTTTTGCTCAACAATTCATAAACACTGCAAGCTCATAATAAATTTGAAAAAGAGATTTTAATCAGTTTTCAGTTAAATGAAAAAGAAAAGATAATTACATACCTTCATTCAAGTTTTTAGATTTCAGACTGTTCATTTTTCATTTTCATTTTTGACAGTTGACATTTGACTCCCCCAACCCATTTAATTTAGGTGATAATGTTTGTGCATGTCTGGAACTATTAATACACACACTGAAAAACTGACTAGTTTAAACTGCGAAATTAACTCCTTAAACCAGGTTCCAGGCCTGTTGGACCAGTGGACTAACAATTCACAAATTGGTGTGCGACGTGTTAGAGCACCAAAACTGTATTGCACATGTGGAAAAAGTTCAGAACAGTCTGTTGAAATAAACCAATTATCAATTCTAAAACAAAAAGTCATGGCCCATGGGACTTAGTGGAGGAGTTAATGTGGTCCATAGGCCAAAACTTCCACCTCTATAATAACAATTTTTCTTTCTACTAATAATTTTCTTTCTACTAATATGATCATAGGAATCATAAAATCTCATTTCATAATTTTATTTTCCACTTCTCATCTAGTACAATCAATACCTCAGCTTTTGCCAAGTTTGATTTCTCTACTCCTAACCAGAAATAAAGATATCCACAAAACATTTCTTCTACATTTTCCTTTTTTTTCTTTTTCTAACTACTACTATTTCAGAAGTTCATGTGATAAGATATACTGTGAATACACCAGCATCTAAAGTTGATTATCTGTTTCTGTTGTCTATATCAGTACTCACTCATTAGACTGTCTAACTTTCCGAGCCTTTATTTTAGGTCTTTTAACTTCTTATAATATTTTTCTAAGGTTGAGGTGCTAGCCCAAAGTGAAAACCTCCAATCTGGAGGCAAAAAATCTTTATTACATTACAAATAATTATGACAATATAAACTGTTTGCCTTCATTATCACTATTTATATTTATCAAATAATATGAGAAATGATTCTTATTATAGAAAGAAGAAACTGTAGAAATCAAAGATGAAAGAAAACTATCAATAACTCCTAAGGTATGTATGTATTATATGCATACAATGCAATCTTAAAAAAAAAAAAAAATACCGTAACATGCCTTTTTTTTCTTTTATGATACTGCATGATAAGCCATTGTCAAACTTCAGGAAAATAACTAGAAATATAGATTTAATGGTATAGAAATATTTTTATAGGTTACTTCATTTTATCTTTTGTTGTAGTTAATTTAAACTGTTTTTAATTTCTTCTAATTACAGAATGATTTTTGTTTATTATTTGAATAAATGACTTGAATGTGTTATTTTTTTTTACAGAAGGGGATAATAAAAGAACCTGAAGAAAAGAAAGAAGAAAAAATTTCTCTTAAACCCACACCCAAGGTATATATTTGAAGTTCGCTAAAGTTGTTTTATTAAATAATCATGGTTTGGAAAAATATTACTCTTAGTACTCTGGGATCTACCAAAGATTTAATCATGTGATAAATGGCAGAAGGTTTGAAAATTGAAAACAGTAGATGACTACCCTAATGCCAAAAACCCTAGAGTCAGATGGCTAACTGGAAGCATTTAGCTATGGTAGAAATTAAAAAATCGCAAAAAGTGCCAAAAATTACATGATCTCAAGAAGTTCCAGAAATTAGGTGATCAGCTGCTGGAAAAATCCGGTTAGAATACTTTTAGAACACAGCAATTTTATTATTGTAATTTTATAAAATATGAATAAATTTTGGAAGCTTTTCACGAATCTGACATGAATATTTGAAAAATGTACCAAAAATTATGCAATCAGCAGCAGGAAAAAAACAGTTAAAATAGTTTTAGACCACTTATCAGGTAACTAATTTGACAGAATCTGACAACATTTTGGAAAATTTTCACAAATCTGAGAGCAAATAGTTTCAGACTAATTTGCAGGAATCTGATTTAATAAAATCTGACCAATATTTAGAAGCTTTTCGAGATTGTAGCACTTATTACGTGTTGGACAGTATGACAAAAAATTGGGATCCGTTGGTCCAAGAGTTTTTCCTGCTGCCTTTTTCAATCTGTCTATTAGGTTTATCAAAAAAGTTTGTCAAACTGATCAAAAAAAGTGCAAATTATGTAAAGGACACACAAGAACCATGTTATTATTTAACCATTAACCATGCTAGATGTTAAGACCATGTAATTTTTTTTTTATATTTCATAAAATTCTAGTTATCTATTTATTTATATATATATATATATATATATATATATATATATATATATATATATGATATAGTTATCTATGTCGACTGATAAGAAGTCACATCTGAAAAGATAAGGACACTACAGTTTATGTTATGAAAAAAAAAATAAAGATTTATAGAAATATTTTCAAAACTCGGCTAATTTGAGAAGTTTACGGAAGACAATATCTTAAAACTAGAAGAATATACCTACCTACTGTACGGACAACTAGGTTATCCAAATATTAATAAAGCTAGAACAATTTTTTTCTGAACAGATAACTTATATTGTATATTTAACGTGTTAGTGTAGTAAATTATATTGAATATATAGTGTTTATTAATTTTTTCTATTTAGGTAGTGGATAGATAATTTGTAAAAGTGATCACGCTCCACTCTGGTTTGAAGGATTTCTAATTCAAATTACTCAAAAAGTACACATTTTTGTATAGATAATACCAATATTTATTTGAAAGCTTCCTAAATTTCGTACAAAATAAAAAAATTTAAATAGATAAGAATTATCTCCGAAATGAAAGAATTTGTAGCAGCGGTAGGAGTAAAGTGGGTTCAAATATCTTAGTTTTCTCAATTCCCTATAAAATAAAAAATAAATCATCAAAATCGGACTATTTGTTGCAGAGATATATCGTTTTATACCTTTAGTACTTTTTCTTCTGCAAAGACGATTTTCATTATTTATGTTTTGGATAAAACAAAAACTTCACATTTACTGAATTAATCAGGACTATTTTTTGAAGAGATGATATCTTTGAATGTTATTGGAATGTTACATTTAATAGTAAATTCAATAGTTATACTCATTCTTAACTTAAATACTGCATAAGCATTAGTTAATGGAACACGATTGAGACTAAATTACCGATGAGAACTACTTTAAGTAAAAGAATTTTAATTCTAAGAATTAATTTAACATTTTCTGAGACAATACTTCCATTTGAATTTCAAATAACAATGTTCTTATTAATAGCAGGGTCAAAGTTTTGGAAAAATTTGTGTATTATTGGGTCGTCCAGTAGTTTTGCATGGACAATTATATGTGGCAGTAAATAGAGCACATTCGTTTAAAATTATATTTCCAATGTCAATGGGTAAGCCTATGTACTAAACAATAACAGAACTTTCAAAAAGAACATTGTTTGCAGAGAAGTTCTACATAAAAATTGATTTAAACTGAATTGAAATTGCTAATTTCAATTTATTTTTTACTCGTTTAATTGTAACATTAATTTATTAACATTAAAATGGATATTAAATAATTTTGAATGAGTCTATTTTGTATTACTTATACAAAATTGTAAGTAGTTTAAGGTCGATTTTTAATTGAAATTGAAATTTTGTTTTTATTAATAAATGATGATTTTTGAATCTTGATTTACTCTTTATTTATTGAATTTATTTTTAGTTATATGTTTTCCTCAAATTTTTAATAGTTATGGTCTAATTTCGACCACTGGGCGAGCACTAGTATATATAAATAGATAACTAGCATTTTATGAAATATATAAAAAAAAAAATACATTTTCTTAACACATAGCATAGTTAATGATTAAATAATAACATGATTTTTGTGTGCATTTACACAATTTGAGATTGTTTGCACTTTTTTTGATCAGTTTGACCAAATTTTTTGATAAACCTAATAGATAGATTGAAATAGGCAGCAGGAAAACTCTTGGACCAACTGATCGCAATTTTTTTTCATTCAATTTTCAAGTACTACATCAGACTCCTACAAATTAGTCTGAAACTATTTGCTTCTCAGATTCATGAAAAGTTTCCAAAATGTTGTCAGGTTTTAACAAAATAGTTACCTACAAAGTGGTCTGAGTCTATTCCAATTGGTTTTTTTGCCTGCTGCTGATCATATAATTTTTGGCACCTTTTGAGAATCTTAAAGCTCTCAGATTTGTATAAAGCTTCCAATATTTTGTCTGACTTCATTAAATCTGTCATCTACTGAGTTGTCTGAAACTATTCCAGTAAATTTTTTCCCTGCTGCTGATCACATAATTTTTGTCACTTTTTGCGATTTTTGAAATTCTACCATAGCCAAACGCTTCCAGTTAGTCATCTGACTGTAGGGTTTTTGCCATTAGGGTTGTCATCTCTACTGTTTTCAATTTTCAAACCTTCTTTCGCTGATCACGTGGTTAAATCTTCGGTAGATCCCGGACTATAGTAGATTGTATGATTATCCTGTGGGATGTTAATGATAGTGCTGATCATAAGTATATATAATTAAATAAGTTTGGCTGTACCATAAATAGCTTTGATATTACCTGTTTCAAAACTTAAAAAAACTATCTACTAATGTTGTGGAAATTGACCAGTTATATCATCAAGATGGAAGATTGCCGATGAATTAAAAAACTTATTGTCGACTCGTGAACTTAATTAGTTTTACTTCAGCACAGTGGTGGCCTTGAACATTTTGTACCATCATACAATTATTTCATAAATAGCCCACTCTCCTTCCCATAAAAAATGAAAATTTTTTAAATATTAATTTATCTCATTCCCTTTTATTTTTTTTTCTTACGCCTCTTGACTTTCAACTTCTAGCAGCTTTGGGGCTGTTATAGGCGACAGGTGTGATTGTTTGGTTTTCTTAATGATATCCAGGTTTACAATAACCGGGCGTAATCACAATCACTCCCTGTTCATCAGGCACTTTCGTGAAGGATGGTTGGCAACCTTTTGCAGAAATCTCAACCCTGTATTATGATTACTATGCCCAATCTCCCATCCTGGAGGAACAGGAGCTATGGTGTAAGACACAGGGACCTTCCTGTGAATCTCTTGGTGAAGACGTTACCATCCCCATGGGGAAACTGAACCCGCTCATAATGTCTCTAGACATAAAGGTCTAAGCAATTGAGTAGCACCTGCACTCATTTATCTTAATGGACTGATTATTTTAAAAACTATAGCTAAGCAGTGACCCACTTCCTAATACTTAATTAAAACTTCACCTAATACATTAGGTTGTTCATAAAATATTCATTTATACATTTTCATTTTATATTTTTTTCCCCAAAGATAATGAATAGATTATTTTGTAGAAAAAATGTTTTATTGTCTTAATATACACTGACAGGCAAAAAATTCTACCCACTTGATTTTTCCATGTTTTCATCTAAAAATATTTCTGTAAAGTTGTATTTGTATATAATACATGGTATTTGTATATAATACTTAGTATTTATGGAATTTTATAATCTTTTTTACCTTTAATAATCAAAATGTGATTGGGTAAGAAATATTAGAGAAAAAAAAATTGAAAAACGAACCATTATTATTCTAAAAACATGATTTTTCCAAAGCATTCGACACAGTTGACCATAACATCCTCCTTACGAAATTGCACAATCTTCCTCTATCCAACAGTGCCCTGCATTGGTTCAAATCCTTCCTTTCAAATCGGTCCCAGTATGTAGTAGTCCCAGGCCAACCTTCATCTAAGACCCTTCCCCTCTCCTGTGGTGTCCCTCAAGGTTCCTCTCTATCTCCTACTCTGTTTGCTATTTATATTAATGACCTTCCCCTCATGATCCATCACTCCCAATACCATATCTATGCAGATGATTCCCAAATATACCTGTCCTTCCCGCCCTCTGACCTATTATCTGCCACAGAGAAACTATAAGAAGACTTGGATAGGATTTGTGACTGGGAGAGAACTAACAAGTTGAAGTTGAATGCGGGAAAGACGAAGGCAATCTTAATAGGCTCCAATTACCTCCTTAAAACTGTTCCTAATATTCCAACTCTGTTCCTGCATGATAATATCATCAAATTTTACCCCACCGCCAAAAACTTTGGAATAACCTTCGATCAAACACTTTCCTGAAAACCATGTATCCTATATTTCCCGCTGTACCATTTCCACTCTAAAACGTCTAAATTCTCGTCACCTATTTCCATTTGAAACCCGTAGGCTCCTAGTGACTTCTTTAATTTTCCCCTACTTTGACTATTGCTGTTTGGTATATGGGGGCGTCTCTGGGGATCTCGAGGCGAAACTAAAATGTTTAATAAATTGCTTTGTAAGATTCATCTTCGGGATACCAAGGGACGCCTCTGTTTCCCATTTTTATGCAGAGTTGAAGTGGCTTTATCCTTCCTACCGTCGTAAATATTTCCTGGCATCCTTCCTCTTTCAAGTTATCCAATCACACCGTCCTTCATACATCTCTGAGCTCCTTCAATTCAAATCCTCTGTTCGTTCCCGTAATACTCGTTCCCGGTCTTCTGACTTATATATAAGGGCCCACCGAACCGCTGCTTTCGACAGATCTTTCATTATCCGATCCTCATCCCTTTGGAACTCCATCCCTTCTCACATTCGACAATCTAATACCCTTCCTACCTTTAAATCCCGCCTGTTCAATCATTTCTTATCCATCCAGTCCCTATGAAATTGTAAATAGATACTAATGTAAATATGTATATAAATTATTAGCTCGTTCTTCATTATTTTTACTTCACCCTTTTTTTCTTAATTTTTTAATTTTTTATTATTAACTGATTAAAATTAGAAAGTAACTTATAATTTTAAATTTTATTACTATGACTGTTTAATTACTGTTTATCTTTATTTATGTATCTCTGAGGCTCCTTAGCCCATATTTATGTCTTTCTGAATTATTCTAAAGGGACTCGTCTCAGAATAAATAAAGTATTATTATTATTATTATTATTATATTTCTGATATTTTGATTTACTCATAGTATCGTATAAATAAATACAATAAAACACTTTATATATATATATACACTCCAAATTCATTAAAAAATTAATGTATTCAACTGTTTTTTTTTTTTAACTATTATTCTATTTATATTTTTAGAAAGAAAAAGAAACACCAAAGAAAGAAGAAGTGTCTCTTCAGCCTGTTAAGGTAGTTGTTTAATTTAAGTATTAAAAATATTTCAATTACATTTTTTTTAAACTTAAAATTATGTTAAATATTTTTAAGCACTGATCATTGCTGCGCTCTAATTTTATTTAATTTAGTTAACCTAAAATTAAAAGCTGTCCATGTATTATCATTTTTCAGTCTAAATTATGTATCTACACATCTAACTTATACACATGCTCAATAAAGTGTATTAAAATTTTTTTTAAATGGTTTTAGGATGAACCGAAAGAGCAAACTGAACCATTGAAGGTAATTAATTTTTCTCTTTGTTAAAAATGTATACTACATTAAATTTAATATTTTTTATATTAATAAAACAAATTTTATTGATTTTTCCCAAATAAATATGGATATCCTCTGAATAATTACTTTTGAATACGCATCATCATCATCATCATCACCTAGTTCTGGTCTATATCTTCCGATGGGTCTTCCTTATAACATTTTTCTCTCACTAGCCTTTGTCAATTTCCATGTCTTTCACCCCTGTATGTCAGAACAGGTCGTATAATGACTTTGTACAGGAGTAGTTTAGTTGATCGTAGTAGTAATAACAACAAGCCTTTGCTTCACCTCCTAGTTCATCTCATTATCCACAATCACTAACGGTCCTAAATATTTTAACCTTTGAACTTTTTTGAACATGTATCTACCTCATGTGGGAACACAAACATAGTTAAAAGATAGTTTATCTATTTCAGACCTTCATTAAACACAATGAGGTATTATTCTATGTATATATTACATGTGAGGAGAGTAATTAAATTGTAGTAATATGAATCGATAGTTACATTTATGTAGGATTTTGCAACATAGATGATTTTTTCCATAATATTATAGTGAAATAATAAATACCTTAACATGAGTAGTATATTTTGGATATATCTAATGATAAAGTGGTATCATTTGAAATATTTGTTTGTTTATTGGCATGAATCTTGTTGGAAAATAATATAGTAAAATTTCTTTAATTCTGATCTTGTAATTTTTTTTGTCTAATGAATATTTAAACAGCCTATAGATAATTTTCTTGTAAATACCTCGAAAGTTAAAAGAAAAAGAATGTAATAGTAAACTTAACCCATTTTTGACCTTTCTTAATGTATGTTTTTAATTATACATGCATGAAGACTATGAATTTAAAAAAAAAAAAGAAAAATCTATTTTTAAAAGACAATTTGGTACTTCTTAAATAGCTGGGCAGGACAAAACCTCCCTTGTTGGCTAATGTTATATCACATAACCTACCTTCTTATCTGGTGTAAGTTGTGAGTTATTCCATTGTTTATTTTTTTTCCATTAGTGTGATTTTCGTCAAATTATGGGTGTTATTACATTCTGCGAATTACCGTTTTCAGAAGAAGAGGCTATCAAATATTTTCAAGAAGGAAGCCCCATATTTGTTATTACATTTGTTTTTGTTTCTGTTTACACTTTCAATGATATGAATATAAGACAATAATACGAAGATAGGAATTACAGAAGGCTTATCATTACCTTATCAGAATTATCAGTGTTCAGGTTATATACATTGGCAGATAGCAGTCGGTCCCGCCCCGCTATTTAAGAAGTACCGACAATTTTTCTAAGATTTTTTTTCAATTAAGAAAAGAACAAGGTAAGGAATAAAACTGGTTGAGAGTTACACAATGTTTTGTTGAAAATCCATCTATCAAGTGAATAAGCTGAAATTTACCTCATTTGATAGCAATTTAAAGTATTAGCTTATTATTGTAACTTATATTTTTAAAATTATATAATTAATTTCACCTATTGCTTGAATTATTTTCATGAAAGTGTAAATATTAGCATTAGAATTAGAAGCTAAAAAAAAAGTTTAGTTGGTTATCCTAATACTATAAGGACCAATTCCCATTACTGAGATTTGTTTAAAAAGCACGGATAAACTTTCACTTTGGGAGCTAATTTTAAAAATGTCTTTTTTGAAAAAGCAACATTTTTTTTTTAAATAAAAATTTTATTTTGTTAATTAATTTATTACAATATATCACAGATCACTGGAAAAAAGTAAAAACATTGTAATTATTTTCACTGAAAACACTGGTACTGTGAGGAGACAGGATTCATTATCCCATTTTACAAAACTAGAGGTGAATCTTGTCTTATTCTGCAAAAAAAGTGTTGCTTTTCCAAAAGATTAATATCTAAAAATTATCACCCAAAGAGATAGTGGACTAAAAGGTCGCCAACTAAATCTTTCTTACTTCTGATTCTAATGCTAATATTAAAACTTTAAACTTATTAACTCCTTAAGTATTTTCTGTTATTTAAAAGACATTATGTAGAGATTTTAGTATGAATAATATTTGTCATTGAAAATGGCCAAACCAAATAGATTTGATTGGACTAAAGTTCTTTTCGGTAACAGACCCAGGAAACGCCTAAATGACCTAAGAATTGGATTTTGGAACATTTTATCATTACATAGACTAGGAGCACTTCGTGCGCTCCTTGCAGAAGTGGACACATACAGAATCGACATAGCAGCTATCCAAGAGGTCCGATGGATAGGACAGGGAATTATGGAGAAGAAGTACCATACACTCTACTATAGCTGCCATGAAAAGCATCACATCTTCGGTACCGGATTTGTTGTGAGTGGCAGAGCTCGACAGCTAGTGATGCGATTTACTCCCATTAACCAAAGGTTATGCTACATTCGGCTTAGAGGAAAATTTTTTAATTTCTCTCTAATCAACTGCCATGCCCCAACAGAGGTGTCACCTGAGGAGGATAAGGAAACATTTTATGAAGAACTTGGACGCGTGACAGAAAGCTGCCCCAAAAATGATGTTAAAATCATTCTTGGTGACTTTAACGCCCAAGTTGGTAAGGAGGTGGCACTCATGCCGACCATAGGAACCCACAGCTTGCATGAGACCAGTAATGATAATGGGCTACGGATGGTGAACTTTGCTACATTGCACGGACTGGTTGTTGGAACAACTCTTTTTCCTCGAAAGAATATCCACAAAGCAACATGGATCTCTCCAAATGGGCAAACAACATCACAGATAGACCATGTACTCATTAGTGCCCGTCACAAGTCCAACATGATAAATGCAAGATCTTATAGAGGTGCAAATATGGACACGGATCACTATTTGAGCATTGCCGAGGTCAGATCACGAATTTCGCTGATTAAAAACCACCACCAACGACCAAAGAAGAAGATTGATGTAGCTAAACTTAAGGACTCAGACCACCAATATTCGTATCAACAAGCTGTGGAGACGAAACTTAATGAAGAAGTAATTAATGACAGCTCTATGGTCGATGAACAGTGGAAGAGATGCAGCAACGCAATGAAACAGGCAGCAGAAGAATCTCTTGGCTACGAGACTAAATCTAGAAGGCCCCCATGGTTTGATGCTGAGTGCCTTCAAGCAGTAAAAGTGAAAAATGAAGCCTACAGAAAGAAGGTTCAGCGTCCCACAAGGCTCTCCCAAGAAACATATCGAAGAAAAAGACGCGAAGAGAAGAGATTATTCCGCGGAAAGAGAAGAGCTTGGGAAAATAAGAACATGGAGGACACAGAGGCATTGCGCGGCCAAAATGAAAGTCGGCTGTTCTTTCAGAGAATAAACGAGGGTAGGGCAGCTTTCAGGCCCAGAGTGACGGCATGCAAAGACACGAATGGAACTCTTTTAAGCCACAAAGATGACGTACTAAGGAGATGGGTACAACATTTCAAAGACGCATTAAACAGAGGAACGGTGCCTGGAGAAGTAGGAGTAATGAAGGAAGACTCCCTGAATTCTATTGAACCCCCGGATGAGGAGGAAATGGAAAACGCCCTGAGGAAATTGAAAAATGGAAAGGCGCCAGGCCCGGACGGAATCCAGTCAGAGCTGTTGAAATGTGGAGGTGAAGAACTCAAGAAAGCTCTGCATGATTTAATGCTGACCATCTGGGAGAGGGAAGCTATGCCTACGGAATGGGCAACAGCCATTATCTGCCCAATACATAAGAAAGGAGATCAAACAGAATGCGCTAACTATCGAGGAATCTCACTCCTTTCGTGTGCTTATAAGCTGCTCTCTAACATTCTTTTTGAGAGGATCCTCCCGTATTCTGAAAAGGAACTGGGGAAATATCAGGCTGGATTTCGAAGAGGACGCTCAACCACTGATCAACTGTTCTCTCTGAGGATGATCCTAGAAAAGACTATGGAGCGTAAGGTAGTCACCCACCATTTATTCCTAGACTTTAAAGCAGCATACGACAGCGTTGATAGAACGCAACTATACTGTGCCTTGGAGGAGCTAAGCATCCCTCAGAAGCTCGTACGCCTAATCAAGATGACCATGGACAGCTCGAGATGTAGAATACGCGTCGGTTCTGACGACTCCGAAGAGTTTAAAGTGAGCAGTGGGGTTAGGCAAGGGGATGCCCTCGCCTGTCTATTGTTCAACTTGGCAGAGGAGAAAGCTGTAAGAGACTCCGGTATTCAGACCAACGATATAATCTTCAATCGCCTGACACAGCTTCTTGGTTTTGCTGATGATATTGACATAATAGGTAGGTCTGAACGGGCTCTCAGAGAAGCGTTTATAGGCCTTGAAGCAGCTGCAAGACCACTTGGTCTAGAAGTCAACGAGAGGAAAACTAAGTATATGAGAGTTGGTGGTGAGGTGGATCTGAACTCTCCATTTGAGGTAGGTTCTTTTAAGTTTGAGAGAGTGAAAAGTTTTATATACCTTGGGTCTGAAATTAATAGCAAAAATGACATGGCTCAAGAAATACAAAGAAGGATCACGGCTGCCAATAGATGTGTCTTTGGACTTGGCCGACACTTAAGAAGTAGGTACCTCTCAAAGAAGACCAAGCTGATCATATACAAGACCCTTGTTCGGCCTGTTTTGACATATGGCTCAGAGGCTTGGACGATGACTAAAAACGATGAGATGAAGCTGAGTGTGTTTGAGCGAGGAGTCCTCAGAAGGATTTATGGTCCAGTAAAGGAGGGTGATGTCTGGAGGAAAAGAAAAAATAGGGAGCTCAGTTCTCTCTATACAGACATCGACGTAGTCACGTATATTAAACTGGCCAGACTAAGGTGGGCAGGGCATGTGGCCAGAATGAGCACCGTTGAAATACCAAAGAAAATAATGATGGAGGAGCTGCACCTCGTAAGACGGGTAGGAAGGCCGAGGACGAGATGGTTGGACAACGTGGCCTATGATGCGAGAACCCTGCTTGGTGTACGGAACTGGAGAGCTGCAGCAGAAGACAGAGCCAACTGGCGGAGGCTCTTGGAGGAGGCCCATATACTTTTTAAAACTTGAGGAATTGCATCCTGTAGTGAGATCTCGTCATTTTTTTCTGTAAAAACGAGAAATATATGAGAATCTGTAAGACTGGAATATCCAGGCTGACTTGGATAAATGGAATGACACATTTCTCAACAGTAACATTGGGTTTCATCATCCTTAAAGCCATACTATGCAAAGCTAAATTGTAGAGGTCGAACTAAATTATAACAATATGGGTTTTAATATTATGTAAATTATATACCAAATATTTTATACGGATCATTAATACTTTGTTCATAATTGACTATTGATGTTTAATAGTCCATGTTTCTGCTAGGTTTGAATTTTTAACTTAAATGTGACTTAATATGTATTTCAGAAATCAAGAACACCTTCAATCAAAGCTCCTGAAACTCCTAAAATTGAAGTTATTAGGGAAAAAACACCTGTTGGAGATAGTCGTAAAAGTTCACTTGTTCCTGGTTCTGGGCAGTCAAGTCGCCGTGGATCACTTATTCCACCTGATGATGGAAAAGGAAGGAGGCCTAGTCTCATCATCAGTGATGAGGTAAAAATACTTTTATTTATATTCTCATCTATTAGTAGATAATACCTAACACATTAAGTAAGAATCATGTTCTTCTTAGATTGGTTTTTATTTCAAACTTGAATAGATTAAACTAACTATTCACCTGTATTCAAATAGTAGAATTAATATTGATCATTTTACAGTTTTTTTTTTGTATGTTTTTTCAACAATGAACTTTATTGTGTACTCACCTCAAAAAAAAAGAATTAAAGAAACTATCTAAATAAATAAAACATATTAAACTAAATTTATAAAATCAATGGTTATATTATGATGGTTTTGCTAGGAAATTTTATTAATTACTATCAGATAAATTTCATAGATTGAATTAGACCATTAATACAATATTTTATTTAGAAGGAAAGCAAATGTTTATTCATAAATATTTCTGAGTGATACTTTATAGCTTATTTTTAAAACTGTAAATTTAAAAATTATTGATGATAAAAACACATATTGGATCCAAATAGCCCTACTTTATTTTTACTTTACATTCTATATTTCAGCCTTTAGGCCATTTTCATAGGAAAAAAAGCTTATTTTTAATATATAAAAATAAAATCATATGGGCTAAATTGATCTTGTCACAATACTTAAGTCAATAACATAATTATCTATAAGAGTAATAGACAATTAAGTATTGAGACAAGGGGAATTTAGCCTATATTATTTTATTTGTATATTAAATTAAGGTTTCTTCTCTATAAAATGGCCTAAGGACTGAAATGTTGGTTGTAAAATAAAAGTAAAGTATGACTATTTGGATCTAATGTATGTTTTTATTATTACAAATAAAGTGATGTCCTAACCAATAATAATGAAATATATATACAAATTAGCTATAATTGCTCTTTTAAGATTTTACATTCAACTTTTAACCTCTTTATCTATTATTTGCTTTCAACAGTATTTTAAGTAGTTTTCAATCTACTGCAGCTTTCAAAATTGATTAAATCATATAAAAGAATACTAAACTAGTTAATATTTCAAGAATATTAATATCTTAAAATTATTTCTTATATTATATGTTTTTCAAATTTTGAATACTGTAAAATTGCATTTCATAAGATAATCTTAATCTGATAACACATTATATTACTCATGAATATATATATATATATATATATATATATATATATATATATATATATATATATATATATATATATATATATAAAACACATTATATGTGAAAATAGCCACACTTGTAATAATATTTGTGTGTGTGTTAAAATAGTAGTTTTGGTCATGATTTCCAAATACTTTTATCATTGAAATTGGTTCTTTATTCCAGACATGAATTCATTAACTTAAACTTTCTATCTCTTAAAATTTATATGGAAGATTAAGTAAAACTTTATGGCTAGAGGCAAGTTTATTGTTGATCCTGACAAGTATTTCAATTTTTAAATTTTAAAGTTAAAAATCTTGTATAGAAAATCTATCTTTTGCAAAGCACAAAAGAAAAACAAATGTTTTTGTTAAATTTCTAATTTAATGGGATTTAAAAAATGTGAAAATTGCCTATTAAACTTATATGAAAAAAGTATATTAATATCAAGGAGCTATAAGATAAAAATATAGAAGATACCCAATTTATCTTATTTATAGTGTTACAATAATGTTCTATAAATATATATATATATATATATATATATATATATATATATATATATATATTTGGTCTTTGACAGTAAGATGAGATTAAATAAAAAGGGATGTAGCCTTAATTTGCTCTCTTAGATATAAAACACACACACACATATCTTTTGATAGCCCTACAGAAAATAAATACATGTATTTTTTTTGTTTATTGAAATGTTTGGTAAAATATAGTTTAATTCCCCCCCCCATCAACAAAAATTGGCAGTGATTTACTTCACAAAAATTACAAATGGTTATTTTTCTTTGTTTCGTAGTAATCAGAGAGAAATAATTTTATTTGAGTATTGTTTTAGCAATTATATTTATCTTAATTTTATTCATAGTTATTTTTGTTGTGTTACTATTTATTTAACATCACAAAGGGCTTTTAAAAAATATTATAACTCCTATTGAGACGACCACTGATGATCTCTCCAAATGGAACAATGAGTGCTTGGAGTGAAGACAATTTAAAAGGCCCTACTGATGATCAATCCATCATTATTCAAAGGCAATGATTCATGCTCTTTAGCTCATTTCCCAAGCCATTTTGATCTCATAAATTTTAGGATTTCACACATTGATAAGAAAGATTATCTCTTAACATATGAAAAATCAGATGGATGGAATTAATTATTCAATTTTTCAACAAAGTTTAAAATGAAGGTAAACATGAATTTTATAGTTTGTCTAAAAATATTTCAATATATAGATTAATTTAACTTTTAATTAAATGATATAATATAATAATAATCAAAATATAAAAAATAGTTGTAATTTTAATAAATACTGATATTATAGATCCACAAACAATTATTTTATTTATTTAATTAATGTTTAAATTTTTAGCATGGCTAATAATACAAAGGAATAGGGTAGCTCTGTAAGTAAGGTACTGTGCTCCTATTCACCTGGACTAAGCTTCGAGTCTGACTGAGGCAGATAATTATATTTTCTATTAAATCAGTTTTGGATCGACCATGGGGTTGAAGGACCCTTCTGGCACACACACAATCTCTTTAAAGTGAGAAACCTTAATGAATTGAGGAGAAAAACCTGGCTGTTGGGTGTGATTCTGGGATTTGGTTAGCCAAATCACCTCCCTGCACAACCATTGACCTAAAAATAGTATTTCTGTACAAAGTACTGAAACCAAATCCCTCCATAGGTTTTAATACTGGTGCAATAATACAAAAATAAACAAAATAGTAAATTAAGAATGAGTTGGTTGGGAGGTGTGGTAAATAAATAAGTACTAAATTGTTAAAATAGTATTTTATTCGCTACCCCGACGTTTTGACTCACTTTGTAGGTCTTCATCAGGGCTACAGAAGATACAAAATATAAAAGGTACATGGTGAAAATGAAATAAATGAATTATTATTAGATATTATTAAGAAACAGTTGTCTGGTAAAAAATAATAAGATGACATCAGAGATTAAGTGGGTGACAGTGTATTTAAAATAAACCTCTTACACTCTAAACAAATCACATACCCTGTTTATAGAAACCTCATATCTTATAACTCTGGCCCTCCATTTCTATGGTCTTCCGAAAATTCACATACATGGTACTCCTCTCCATCTTTTCACTTCTAATATTATCCCTAATAACCATTCCCAAAAACTACATTCTATCCTTCTTTGACGTTAAAAGCCTAAATAATACTGAACCCAAGACCCTTCATGGGTTGTGGTAATATAGGTTTTTTGTTTTTTTTTTTCATCTCCCGCATCCTTAAAACTCCTGCCTCTTCTACTCTTTTCTCATAAATATGTGTGTGTGTTTGTGTGTATATCTATTCATAAGTGTATGTGTGTGAATGTATATATATATTTGTGTGAGTGTGTATATATATATATATATATATATATATATATATATATATATATATTTGTGTGTGTGTGTGTATATATATGTATTTATTTTTACTAGAACCTTTTTTGACACTGCTTACTAGAGTTTTTTTTTGACACTGCCAGTGTTTCAACTGCCTCCCACAGTGCTACATCCTACGATATGTTTTAATTTTTATTATGATTCTTTCTTAACACACCTATCCTTTAACTATATACCATATTATACTCTTCATACAGCCTACTATTCCATTACCGCTTTTAAAAAAACTGAATGTCAATTGTTATTTATGTATAATGATACATTATATGAAAGGTACTTTCTTCATCATCACTACCTTGTTTACATTTCTACTTACATTCTAAATTTCTCTTCTAATTTTTTCTTATAGAGTAATACATATTTAATAAATCTATCCTAACATTATTACAAGTCAAGTTATCTGATTAGTTTTTTAATTTCTTTATATGTTAATCTTTAGTCTCATTATCTGTTTACCTATATTTATCAAGAGTGACCTCTACTAGCTTTTTATCCACTGATATCTTATTATTATGTTATCTTATTCTTATTTCACCTTTACTAGATCATTACTTATTCTTTTTTTCAATTTCTTAATTCGTTAACCCTCATTTTCTTTATCTGTTAACCTAAAGTTATCAAATGTAACATAGCCTTTACCAGTTGTTATCCACTCATTTCTTATCTTTTATCACAATCTATTTACTTTTAACTGACGAGCTATATTCACCTTTATTTTCTATTTTTATTCACACTTATTTTCTATTTTTATTTGTATCTTCTATATATGTAATACTTGATATTTTAACTACACTGTCACACACTATATCTCTGATGTCATCTTATTATTTCTTTATCAGACAACTGTTTCTTATTTAATATCTACTAATAATTCATTTATTTTATTTTCACCATGTACCTTTTATATTTTGTAGCCCTGATGAAGACCTACAAAGTGGGTCAAAATGTGGATGTAACGAATAAAATACAGTTTTAACAATTTAATATTTATTTGACCGCATCCCCTGACCAACTCCTTCTCATATTATATCACGGTCAATCATCTCAACACCAAAATAGTAAATTATTCGTATCAATATTTTTGTGACATATTTTATCCAATGAATATCATAAACTTTGACTCTATTGTATTTACTGTACAACATATTATTATTGTGGCACAGCTTAAATATTGTACAGTCCATCATTCCATCCCATTGGTTTTTAATACTCATGTTGGGTTGATGTTCATTGACGTGAATAGCCTGACATGATGAAGTTTAGGAACAATATGATTCCAGCCATTCTGTATCACTCCAAAATAATCCATACAGAATTTCACATTCCATTTAGAGTGAAGGAATTGGAGTGGATTGACTGTCAGTGGATGCCTTTACACTTCAGCAACTCTTGAAACATTTAGTTGAAATTTCAAAGATTATTTACTTCTTTATTAATTTTAATTAATGCCATATCTCAATTTCTGCTTAGGAAATTTTACTCCTTTTAAAACAAACACTTTAATACATAATTTTCAAAAAGTATATTTGTTTAATGACTGTGCCCGTAATGTACTGTACTGTACTGTGAATATTTGCTTTATATTCTGTTTATAATTAGTTAAAAGCTAGTTATTTAATATTAAACTATATTTTTTGAATAGATAATTGCATTTAATTAATTGCTGATGATGAACTTTATTTTTATATTTATATCTTGATAAAAAAATTGAAAAAAGGTTATTAAAACCAATTTTATTTTATTTTTGTTAAATAAAAGATTAAATTTACCTCTACAGAATTTTGCACTTAACTTAGCTCTGATAAATCAATCTGCCTCCATTATGTATTTTAGGAAAATAGGAAGTTACGTCCCGGTGAAGTAATTGAAGAAAAAAAGGTGAGAAATGAATGCGGAATTATTTTTTACATTGTCTTCTGATGGTATCCGCAATGATTTCGTCTTTAAAAACAAAAAGTGTTCGTAAATTTGCACGTTGCTTTTTTGTTGTCCAAAGGCATTGAAAATTAATGTCTTTTGTCTTATTGTCATTTATTAATTTTTTGTGATATCGTGTCCTTGTGAGCCGGTTGCCGCAAAGTATCCCTGTCAGTGTGTTCATATTTTTACTCCTTATTTTTTAATATATTTTTTCTACAGGTTGGAAAACTACGTCCTGGTGAGGTCTTTGACCCTAAGGTGAGATTAAATAAAAAGGGATGTAAGCTTAAGTTGCGCTCCTGGATCTAAAACATATTAACTAATTACAAAGATGTGTTTGCCTTGAATTAATTTTTTCTAATTGAACTTATATACTGTATTTCTTCTTAAAAGCCTTCATTGACATAACATTCTGTAAACAATTGCTACACAAACAATGACACTCTTCTCTGCATAATATATGATTTTTTAAAGTCATTTCATAATTGTTACTAGTTTTAATTTTAAATGTAACAGAGAAAAGGTGTTCGTCCAGGGGAACAGGATCCAGATCCAAAAAAACAGGTTAGAGTTTGCAAAAATGCAGCCTGAAAAATAGATTTAGAAAGATGTATTTATGTATTAATATAGAAGTTTGTCACATCTCTAATTTAGATGTTCAATCATGTTTTGTGAATTACATGTGAAACCCTATTTCAATTTGAAAATTTCATGTCTTAGCTAATTAGCATTTTCGCGACTGACATATATGTTTTCACTTTTTAAATCAGTATTATTAACATTTCATGTTTTTTACCCTCTTTGTTTATGTTTGTTTGTCCATAACTGATAGATTCATGTTTTTATTTCAATTTCAATGAATCAAAATTTTCTATTCCTTATAGCTGAAATTCTAATCATGACTTAGTTTTTGATCTTTTTACACTGTATTATAATATAATTATATTAAATTGATTAAAATATTCACCAATATTTACTATGACTGTTATTTAGCATCTTATTATTGTTCATTATGTGTTTAGATCAATTAATATATTCATAATCTAAATAATGACATCACTCTTGATATGTAGATAGTGACTAATAAATACATTTTAAATGTGCTATAGTCAGTGAGGATTTTAGTCTTTGACCTGCAAGAAATCAATAAACTCGTAATTCAATATCTTATAAAATTATTATTTCTGTTTCCTTATACCTGATTAAAATTTAAATAGTACTTGAATCAATAAATATCATTTATTGAAATTGATTACTTCACTATGAAGTCTTCAGGATATAAAATACTTTCCTTTTGTACCTCCTTCTATCTATAAAATAATGTAAAAAATAGGGTGATTTTCAGCCACTTCATCTCCTTCTCTCTCTCTCTCTCTCTCTCTCTATATATATATATATATATATATATATATATATATATATATATATATATATATATAGTCCATACTCTCTCTCTCTCTCTATATATATATATATATATATATATATATAGAGAGAGAGAGAGAGAGAGAGAGAGAGATAGGGTGTCTCTGTTCTTGGTTTTTTCTTAAGGTGAACACGTTTTTTATTGAATAACAATTAATTGCACAAACACTGTTCAAGATAATTAGATTCTAATTACACAATCGTGAAGTAGATAAAATTTTCTTTGGGAAAACATTGATTAAAATTACTAAGATCAATGATAAAAGGGACTTTCAGCAGGTCTAATACGGTTGCTTTGCTGCTGCAGTTACAGAACACATACAGGAGGAGCATATCTTTGTACTACCGATTTGTGAAATAATTCGGTATGATGGTGGGCTTAGCACTTGTGACGTTAAACGTTAACTGATGATAAAAAGTCGTTCACTTGATGTTAGATAAGAATGTTGAACAAAGATCATAAGTAAGACGCATTTTCGTAAAGATAAATATTGATCTGACATGTCCCCTGCAATAATACCTCTCCTTTTTATCAATGTACTATGTATAGTTTTACTTGCCTATACTACGATCATTATTGTATCTCAGAATTAATCATTGAGTGATATTAAATGATTATCTGATACCGCAAGGCTTTAAAACCTCTGGATTAAAATTCTTTTCTTTTAAAAATAAATGGTTTCATTACTTAATGCGCAAGAAACCTCTGATTTATCAAGAAAAGCATCTTTATCTTATTAGACCTCCTGAAAACCCCCTTTTTCATTATCTTAGTAAATTTAATTACTGTTTTCTCAAAGAAAATGTAGTCTGCTTTACGATGGTGTACTTAGAATTTAATTATCATGAACATTTTTTGAGCAATTCTTTCATATTCAATAAAAAAAAGTGACTACCCTAAGAAAAACACCAAATTGGTTTTAACTTCTTTTCCGTTTAGAATCGGCCCATGCATCAAATGAACTTTTTGTTGAAAATTTTGTCTAGAATCGCTCTCCAGAGTTTGACCATTAAGAACTGAGACACCCTGTAAATATACATATATACAGGATATCTCGCAAGTAGAGGGGAAATTTTTATAAGAGTGATAGCAGAAATCAAGAGCTACAAAAAAGTTCATATAAAAAATGGGCTAATTTTCTGTAGAAAAATAGAAAATCCAAGTTTTGTGTTTTTTTAAGCAAGTCATTTTTTGTTGAACAGGAAACAATAACTAAAGAAACATTTAATTTAAGTAATTAACAATTTCTTCAATGTAAACTAGACAAAGTTTACTTCAAATGAAGATAGAGTTTGTCATTATTAAAACCATTGAAAGAGGAATTTTGAGCGTCTAAATTACATCAAGTTCTGTTTTTTAAAAAATCAATAAATTATTCACAATTTAAAAAAAAAAAATCATTATTCAGCTATTCTACAGATACCCCTCTTTTATAAAAACTTCCTAATTTAATTAGCTGTAAGTCCATATTAATTAATTGAAGGTTTATAAGAAAATATTGAGATCCACCTCAAGTTGTGTAAAAAAATTATGTGATTTTTTATCTTGTCCTCTAACAGTACCAAAGTTTCCAGCAAAAATGACTACAATTAATTGTTGCAAAGTTTTTATTTTATGTTTCTCCATTTCTTGAATGAATGATAATAAACATAATTGCCTAAAAACTCTTTTTATTTATAAATAAAATTAATGATTTTAAAAATATTTTTCAGATAAAGTGGCTATACAGCTATGTTTTTTATCCAGATCCTTATTATACAAATTGATCCATATTTATAAGTGAAAAACCTAAATGTTTCTATTCCTAAAATTTATGCTTTCATGAAAATAATTGAAGCATTCAACAGGTTTATTAACAGGTTATTTTAAATGTAAATTTTAGGGCTAGAAACGTTTAGTTTTCCACTTATAAATATTGATAAATTCGCATATGGGTGAAAAACATAGTTCATAACCACTTTAGCTGAAAACATTTTTAAAATCATTATTTTTATTTATAAATAAAAAGTGTTTTTAGACAATTATGTTTGTTATAATACAAAATATGGAAATATATATGCAAAAACAAGAAATAAAAGCTTTACAACAATCAATTTTAGCCATTTTTGCTGAAAACAAGAGTACTTTTATGTGATAGGATACAAATTCACATCATTTTTGTACACAACTTGTGGTGAATGTCAAGTTTTTCCCTAATAAACCTCAACTCAATTAATATAAACTAGGAATTATTTAAATTTCTTTAAATATTTATTATTCTGCTTCCTATTCAATAAAAAACATGACTTACTTAAAAAACACAAATCTTTTATTTCCTACTTTCTTGCTGAAAATCGGACCAATGTTTATATAAACTTTTTTGTAGCTCTTGAGACCTGCTTTCTCTCCTATAAAAATTTCATTCTACTTACGGGACACCCTGTATATACGTATGTACATGTATATGTTGTATGAGGATCTTAAAAAATATGAAACTATATTTTGGAGACATTTTGAGACTTTATTGTTCTCTTATTTATGCCTTAAAGTGGAAAAAACAGTTTATAAACAATTTTCTTTAAAAAAGAAAAAGTCTAAACACTAAAAGAACTAACAATTAGAATACAGATTAATTATTGAGATATTATAAATAAATTAAGTACAAGGACACTAGAGACTAAATTTTATTTACAATTTTTGAAAATTAAGAATCAGTTCATTAACATTAATTAAATGTTGAACTACAACTTGTACACAACTACAACTTTCTAGTTCTTGAATAATATTTTTTGAGAATGAAAGAAATGCTGAGAGGTCAGGTAGCAGTAAAGTGGAAGTTGTTTAGTTTTTCAAAAAAAAAAGGAAATGGTTTTCCTATATGACTAGGTAGCGAGATTTAGTTATTCTTTATTTTATATGTTTTTATTTATATATTAGTATTGTGCAGTTTTAATATTGATATTTGTTAATATGAGTTAATTAAATTTGAATAATAAACATTTAGACATAAATCCAATTTTTTCTGATTGTATGATATGAGAATAACAGACTTGAAACACCTCCAAAATATGGTTTTTTATTGACTGAAACTTAAGATTTTCAGAGGACATATATTGTTAATAGTTGAGAAAATAGAAATCAATTTATATGTATTTTGATTTCTATTATAGAAAAGAGTCCTCCTGGGACACCCTATATGTCTTTGTGTATATATATATATATATATATATATATATATATATATATATATACACATATGTATACAGGATTACCAGGAAGAAATTGGTAATTCAAGGGAAGATAAGTCTACCAAAAATGTAAATTAGGACTCCCAATAGCACACTCTTATTTATCTCGATTCGTTTTAAAAGATTTTAAACCATTTACTAAAAATTCCACTTCTTTTTTTTTCAATCCAAATACATATTTCTCTAGTATAACTGAACAGTTCTCAACTTTTGTCATCACTGCCAGAATCTACGATTTTCTGTAAGATAGCAACCAATGTGTAGGAAAATATAGTATCATTGGGAAATCAGAGCAGCAAACACATATTACACAAGTTTCCGAGAATGACATCAGTGATTTACAAAAAATCGCTTCATTTTATCAGCTTTTTGACAGTATACTCAACTTGGGAAATTTAGTCTAATTTCAAAAATTACTTTAGGAAGTCAAAAAATGTTAGGTTCAGCAACAATACGAGTACCTAACTAGAATTTTTTTTACTTTCACCTACTTATATATGTAATATATAGTAAGGGTAAGTATTGTGATTGTGAAATTTTTTGAATCTGAGTTTTCAATCGAAATACACGTTTTGAGGTCCCCGGAGTCCAAATAACCAAGTCCA